TCTTACGGGGCCACACCCGGAGCCTTCGACCTGAAGGTCTGATCCACAAGACAGTAGAGCGACGTCAGGAGATATAGTCCCATGATATTCGGTGACCAACGATTGATTCATACGCTATTTGTTCCCTCAGGATCCTGGAGCCCATGTGCACGATTGGTTTGGAATCAGAGTTTTCCAACTCCTCTAAAGGGATCCACCGTGTTCACCAACTCGGTTAAAGCCTCCATCGGACATTCGCTTCTCGTCCTCTCAATTTCTTAAACAACACCCTCATTGAGAGAAATCAGTGAGTAGGACTTCCCTGACAGTGGTCGTATATGCGTGGCCATATGAGAGCATTTCGAGAGGGCGAGTGGACTCTCCTCACCTTCAACCGTACCATGGCATTTGGGAGCTGACACATATCTTGACCATTTGATATATAAGTTAATGATTCAGATTTCATTTTCGCTAGAAATACATTTATTCTTATCTGTGTATTATTATGAGTTATCATTACAAGGGTAAAGATATTCACTCTCAATAATAATCTACTCTTAATCTATCAATATTGTTTTAAAACAACTAGGATAAAGATTAGACAGTTGTATTCATTATGAACTAAGTATTTCAGGCTGTCATTATTAACAACTAGAAAACTGTAGATTCACTAGTACATAATTAGTTCAATGAAACATGTAAATAAATGTCACTTTTAAAAAAAATATTATACTCTGACCATTTGAAACTTTTAATGTTTTACAATAGTACAGATTATTTAAGTTTATTCTATCCACCATAGTAGATAACATTTTTACAAGTTCATTTATTAAATAGTCTTTGTAGATAGGTAAATGATATCACATAAAATAATTAGGTCTAACAATCAGGTTTTAATTGATTAGAGAGAGTATATATATGTGTGTGATCTGTAAACTGATTTCCTAAAACTATCCGTGACATTGTCGTGTTAATATTTTATAATATAAGAATATCATTTTATTAAATGAAAAGACATCTGTTCTTCTTGTTAATAATCTTGTCTTTGATTTCAATTCATTCAATCTCGTGAGTAACCAATTCTCAGATGATCTCAGTTACTATTAGATAGGTATGCGAGGAATAGTCACTTTCCAGTTGATCATATCGTGAAAGAACACTTCTTTCTTAGAGATCTGAAAATAAAAGTGGATTAATAGGGATTTTGGGAATCTAGAAATTTAACCGCAGATTCAAAACAGACAACTTCTTGGGGCCACACGATCTTTCTGTAAAAAGATTGTAATGTGTTACCTTCATAATCTAAAATGCTTTATCATGAAAAGTAAAGTAAGGTGTACTTTTTCTATGACTAACATTTCTTAGTCCTATCATTTCATTGTAAAAATGTTAACGTCTCTAATGGTTCTTATTATCTGAGGGAAACCACCTTACTGCCATCATATCCCTGTAAAGTCAGCCATACAACTTTGTCCAACGAATCAATCAACCCTACTTCATAGAAGTACTCATATTCTGTTTTGTAGAGATTTAGTAAAGTATACATGGATACAAATTAATCTGTATCATATAGTTTGTCCTTCAAAAGACCAACTAACAACGATCTATTATTCACAATACCAAAATATCTCGAATTTTATATAATTGTGTAATATCTTTAATCATTTTATGTTATAAATATTGCATTACATATGCCCGTTGTACTCCATTTATCGATTATATGAAATAATGGTTCATTACATTGTACATGGTTTGTTTATGATGGCGGAGGTGGTAGAATCAATACATCTAATCACACGACCGATCATTCAATCAAATATGATTGGATTATAATAATATTAATAGCATAGATAAAAATCACGGTTATTTATGGTATGTATTTTAACGAGTGGTCTGGTTTTAACAAAGGATGTTATAAGGTTATAAATTCCTTGGTTCATATATATATTTATATATAATAACACAATGAATATTGTTAAAGTTGGAATTTTCAGAATGTGTTTTGTGGGGATTTTTAGAAATTTTCACAGATTGAACTCATGAGTCAGTTGAAGCTAGACCACCATTGAAAACCTGGAAGCACTGGACGGCCGTTTCGTCCTAGTATGGGACTCCTCAGCAGTGCGCATCCACGACCCCGCACCACCCGGGGCTCGTGGATTGGTTGAAGTCAGACATTAACACCATTGGATGCCGGCTCAGTGGTCTAATGGCTAAGTGCTCGCGCGCGAAGCCAGTAGGTCCTGGGTTCGAGCCCCGGGTGGTGCGTTGTCGTGGGTGCGCACTGCTGAGGAGTCCCATACTAGGACGAAACGGCCGTCCAGTGCTTCCAGGTTTTCGATGGTGGTCTAGCTTCAACTGACTCATGAGTTCAATCTGTGAAAGTTGGAATTGGTTTCTTCGAAGTATTATTCATTATATTTTTGTTCTATGATTACAGAATAACTGAATTACTATGTCTTTATATTCCATTTATGATAAGCTTTCGTTTAACACATTAACTACTGTTACACGATTCACTTTTCTTAATTTGTTGTCAGTCAATTACTTATAGCTTGGGGTATTCATAGCAACTTTTGGCTTATGGTTTTCCATTTCATGATTTGATTGTGGTCCAGTATGTTTGTGTATGAACCCATATGTATGCTTGATTATCTAACAAGTGGTAGAGGCTGACTGCCAACGTCTCTCGAACTCATTATAGGGCATAAAGAAATGCTTGAATATGTGGTGTATGCTACCTAAGTGGAATGCCAGACAACAGGAGTTTGAATTGAGAACAGGAAAAGAAACAGAACAATTGGGATAACATCATAATTGCAACAGTCATGAAGCGTGTAAACGACAACTGAATGAAGATGTGCAAATAATGTACCCATGACACTGGGTAATTTTGCATTAAACAATAAGTTGGTTTTCTCTACATGAGTTCTCGTTTACTACAAGTATAACAGATTATAGGAGCCTAGCTTGCGTTGCCTCAAGGTGAACTGTCCAGGTCAGATGTGTAAGTGGTCGAGTCTAGAATACTGGACTATAGAAGTAATAGATCTTCTCCACCATCTCGATAGTAGATGTAAAATAAAGAATATTATAGTTGAAATTTTATTCGATGACTTAAACGCGTGTTATCGATCAACTTGGGCTGAGATGCACAAATCTCAACTGGAAAATTTTTAAAGTACATTAACATCGCGAAAAATGCCAAATTAAATAATCTGTTGTCCAACTTCACTTTACATTATTTTCAATTTGATGTTACCCTATATTGAGTTCGAATTCATCCACACTTTAACTTGCCAACTCTCGTTTATGTCTGATTTATTCATTAATAATAATAATTATTATAATGCAGTCTGTAACTTATATCATAACCACTAATTGTGACTCCATTGATTGATAATGAATGATGGTAATGAAATGTATAAAAACCTTAATAACCTCGTGTATATATTATACTTCAATTTGATTATGTTAATGACAATGAAATAAAATAAGTAAAGTACAAAAGTAGTTTTTAATATGTATATTGCCCTTGCCAATTATCCCATGACAAAATCGCCAATCAGAACACCGACTTATGTGATCTTGTTCCTGTGCTAAGCCTATGACACTTCAACCGGCACTAGAAGCCTTGCGTCAACTCTGAATCTTTAGTGATCCTTCTCTCCTAGTCCTGCCGGTTCATTCCGGAACACAGTCTCAGCCTCCGTTGTATGAATCGTATATGTCAGACATACTTGATTTATATACAAACAGACCAGACTGCATCATACCATCAAGTGAAAAAAATAACAGTTATATAAGATCAACAACCTGAAAGTGGACGTTAGTGTCAGAGGCTGTAACTAATAAACAAAATAAATTAAGAATAGTAAGTTGTATAATAATAGTTAATGGGTCAAATTAAAGCTTATGATAGGAGAAATATAGATTTATATGATCTAGTTACCTAATAGTTACACAACAAAAATATATGTATAAAAACAGTCCATAAATAGATCTTATCAGTTATCCATAACCTAATCTCTTTCGGATACTACATATGTTTCATTGATACTCAGATAGAAGAATGTAAGTGATTATATCATTACTATTTACGTGAAATATTTAAGTATCAATAATTTTTTATGTATATAGATGAAAGTGAACCACGTGTAAAATATACATAAGTAGATAGTTATGTACTATCGTACACAAATGAATGGAAAATGTTTAAAATGAATAATTAACAAGGTTAAATATCTAGTGTATAGAGTACCTAATTGTCTTGAAGCTAGAATAATTCGTATAAAATAATGTATTAAGAATTGCCACAATGTCTCTATAATGAGACCATATGAGTAAAACTTATAATATCGGGAGAAGCTTAGAAAATAACTTCAATGAATTCCCAGCTAGTTTCTAGCCGGTCATAAAGTAGCTTCTATAAATGGATAGTTTATAGAAATGAAAGATTACGAATCGATTAAAGTTACACATGTTGACGATTCTATGCCTTGTCTTAAAGTTAGGCACTCCCTTTAAAATCGAATTTCCTTTGTTCAATAATTCCCTTGCTCCGCCGCTCAGGAGTTTCATACTAGGATGAAACAGTGCTTGAAGTCACTAACTTCTATCCTGAGCCGTGTTGGTAGATGCAAACTACTCGGTTAGGGTCCACGCGACTTTCGTAACCAATGGTTGGAGACTCTGAGTGACATCGCGCAGAATCGGTCACAGTGGCGTAGGTGTACACACTCGTTATCTTCCCTGAGATTAAAATTATTTCATATCTTTTGTTTTACGAACGAATTCTTTCTTTCTGTACTATATTCTTACATAAAATCTTTCCTTTATATACTACCATCATTGAATTAACTACTTCTATGAATCCCGTGTTCGTCTTGCTGTGCTGGCGTGGCAACTTGGACTGATGCATATATGTGCCTGGTCCTACATTGTAACTGACTGACTGAAACACTTGCTTAGTGTTTCCTGGTTCTTAATGGTTGCTGTAACTTAGATCAGCAGTCCATCATGTAAACCATTAAAAAACAATTGATAGCTGTTTTTAATCATCATAATTTTTCTCGTTGCTTCAATTGTTAATTTTTTTCAGATGATATTCCCGTTAAAATGGACAGTTGTATATATTCCATACATATATATGGGCTGTATTCATGTGATTCAATCACCTTCACCATATTTAATTGGAATGGACTCAAGATTTTTTGACTTTTTCCGTTTACCACCTAATGGTGGCATTGCCTATCTTGACTTGGATACAAATAATTTCAAGCCACCATTAGCACCGGGTCAACCAATATTTGATTCAAAAGTTCTCCCCAAAGTAAGAGATTATTATTATTATTGTTAATATTGAAGCGTAAAATTTGTTTTTCTTGTGTTTATCTTGGATATATGTATGTGTCTGTTTTGAAGATATGTGATACATTCCCATCTAAACACCATGTTTTCGAATTTAATCAGTATTGTATACCAATTCTTGATGTTTAATCGATGGAGTGGTACTGTTAAATGATTGTTAGATGTCCCAGATCTAAATTTTACACATGGATTTTGACAGCATTAAACCGTTGGTTGTCTCACAGCATGACTGTTGTTAATTCATTACACAATATTACGGTTATCTGACCACTGTTTTTTCAAGATAATACTCGAATTATTGGAGTCATAAAGTGAGTAGTCATTAAACAACCCAAGGGCGGGAGGGGGGTGCAAACCAATATGTGACATCAGTCGATGAAGACATTGACTATTGAACTGAGCCATGAAGGTAAGTGCAAACTATATGGTTGAGGTTTTCACGATTACCGTGGTCATCGGTTAGAGACAATGGGTGACACGACTTGGGGTCGTTCTCAATCGCGTAGGTGCATCAATTATATCTTCCTTTAGATCCCGAGTTTCATGTTTGGCTATAATTACTTTTTTATTTCACAAACCTGTATTTTCTTCAGCTGTATCTTGAATGCCTAATCTTTTCTGTTACCACTAATAATGTGACCATATTCACTACACTGCGATTCGCTGCGAGAATTTATCTCAGTTTGTTGATCGGGTTTGACAACTGAAACCGATGTATACATGTTCCATGTTCCATATTGCATATAACTGATTGAGAACTTTGGTAAATTAATTGCAAACTGATCTATGAAATTCCACCAGCGCTAAAAAACCAAATAGATATGACATTTGTCAAACAGTCAACCAAACGCAACATAGGACTTGGTCCATGTGTACATCGGTCCAATTTGCCGTGACCCATTAGCAAAGTGAGATGAAATCACCAGGCCGATACCAGATTGGTAGAGATACTTATAGTATTAGTGGTGATAGAAAAGATCAGGCGTCGAATTTACGATTCTGGAAAATATTAAGCCTTGTAATAAAAGAATTATAAGTAGTTTAGAGACTTAAGATCTTGGGGAAGAAATAGACTGGATTCACCTGCAGCATCCCAATATGATTTTGAGCTATGTCATTCAAATTCTCTAGCCACTGGTTACTATCATGACGCGGACCCCAACCGGATAGCATATATATCCACTAATACGGTTCACTTTAATTGTCAATGACTTCTTAGTCTCATTTCACTTCTTGGTTTGGACGGCCCTAGCTTTATTTCAACCCACTCTTACACTAGACAACATTGCCTATTGGGTTAGGTGGTTGGTTGTGTATATACATAACAACACATATCCTAACTGCCTTATTAATCAATCAAACTTTTGTTTTTATATTTTAGAAACCATTGAAACAATTAAAAACAAGATTATTAGAATTGAAAGAGAAAATATTTCAAATGAAAAATACTCGTAAAACATCATCTAAAATGATACCTAGAAATATGATGTTAGATTGTATGTTTTCAACATCAAATTCAGAATTAGCTCAAGATGAATTAATTAAAGTTCGTAAACGTGTAAGTTGATGAAAAAAAACGTTTATTTCTTCTTCTTCTTCCCGTTTATCAATTACTAACTTGTACTACTTTCGTTAATGATGTTCATTGTCTAACTTTAATGTATTCGAATCTTTAATAATGTTGGTGAATGACATATTCCACCTAACTTTATATATATATCTTCCGTCGATTCCAAATTATATTCAGTATACCTATGTCAATATTGAACAGAAGATCCAGAGGATAGTATCAAGAATTAGAGTTCGGTTATACAAATTGATTCAATAGATTATAATATGACTAAGTTTCTATGAGCATGAAAACGCATACGAGCAAGTACATATATACTGTTATATGCTCATACTGAACATCACAACATATATAAATGACAATAACTGGGAACATTAGGATAATTCATCTGTTCAATGGTTAGGATAAACTATGTAAACATGTAACAATATCAATTATTACACTGTCACTACTGTTCCGATCTGTTGTTACATGTTATATTTTTGCTGTATAGAAATGTAATTGTAGGGAAAATTGCCAGCTAAACTGATGACAACATCAGGAAAAATGTAACTAAAATTGTTAATTTGGTTAACTTATTGAATATTCCTCAATTTCAAGTATTTTGTTTTGTGGAATAGAGTTCGTGGTAAACACACACCTTGCTATTACATGGAGTTCGTGAACTGATCAATGTTAGATCACTATTACAAACCTGAAAGCATTGTAGGACTGCCGTTTTCTCCTAATACGGGCTTCTCAGCAGTGCGCACCAACGATCCCGCACACGCGATTCGAACCGAGGACCTTCGGTTTCGCGCGCGAACGCCTAACTTCCAGACCACTAAGCCGGAATCCAACGGTTCTAATGTTTGACTTCAACCAATCCATGATATTGTACGACCATCATCCATTGTCTTTGGTGGGTAACTTCCTCACAATCGACACGGATTAGTTGTACTGGTCACGGCTTCTCACTAGAACTTCGAGAATTGTCTCGCTAAGCTAGACTTTAGTGAGCATATAATCATTATCAATACAAGGTTGTGGACGGAATTGCCGTCTAATGCTTTCAGATATTCGGCGGTGTTCGAACATTGATTTCAGTCAAACTCAACGATCTTCACTACCCTATTGTTTATTGTTTTAAAAACAAACATGCAATGGAGAAGTGTATCTCTGCATAATATCAATCTCTTGTAATCTCCGGCAGAACAGTATAATCACTGGTTATCTTACTGTTTAGTCACATGTTCATTCTATTTCACTCATATGTAAAGTGTTCAGTGTTGAACCTATGGACTCTATTTAATGACTAAATTGCATTAATTTCTATTGACATAAATTTTGACGATTCAAATTTTTCAGTAATACTATTGACTAACACTTCTCCGAATGGTTGATGAAACCATGAAAAATGAAAAATATTTGTACCAAATTCATTCGCATTTTTTTTGCTGAGTTGTGTACATCAGACATTGATGTCTGATGCACGATTCGAATTTCATAGTTTCCATCATCTATAATGAAAAATAAACAATCACTGAACATCTGTTTCATCCTAATAATATGATCTTTCAGTAGCAGTGTAAATCCATAACCTTACTGTCACAGGAGAGATCGAATCAATGGTGTTTATATTTCATGGTAATTATTTAACTTGTAGATCACTTTACCTAAATCAATCATTCGATTATACACTAATTATCATCAATCTAATTGAATAATCTCATATTTTCAATTCTTAATTATAATTATCCTTTGACTTATTTCATTGTCATCGTATTCTATCTAATTGATTATTCCATGATTCTCAATAATCTATGTGCATTTTTATTGATCAGTTACTAATGTTGAAAAATTAATCCATATTTATACTGATTTCTTGACTATCCCTTCCTTTCCTCTTTTTATATTATTGGGCGTCAGTGGTTACAAGAACTCAATGAAATGGTTTGTTCTCCACACTAAATATTATTGATTATTTTATTTGATCTGTGTTTTTAAATGTTGTTTCTTTGTTGTTTTTTTTATTGATGCAAGCATGCGCTGCAGTGTTTGTTTCATTTTTCTTTTTACTGTTGTCAACATTGTTATATTCATTATCAGTGTAATTTTTCTTCTCATGAAAAACATGAATTTGTTTGTTTTCGAAGCATATTTATATCAGTAAAATTATACTATTAGATGGTGGTTGGAGGTAGTCAACAGGAAACCATGGACCCGGGTTTCGTGCTACTTGGCACTCGTCAGCAAGGTGTACCTGTAATCTTGAGGGAACTGGTGCTCCCTGGCGGATTCGATCTCGTGTCACCCAGCTTCACAGTCAGAGACGTTACCACTGAGCTATCCGAGCCGTGACTAACCTCCTGTAGGACTGAGATGTAATCACAATTGATTGATCACTGGGTGGTGATCAATCTCATGCTTGTCTAGTCCTTATTAGTGCAGATCGAATGCTATCGATCATGTTGCAATGTGGCCACCAGTCTAGGTGACTCGACACTGCGGGCACTATGTAGTGAGATTAGATGGTGGTTGGAGGTAGTCAACAGGAAACCATGGACCCTCAAGATTACAGGTACACCTTGCTGACGAGTGCCAAGTAGCACGAAACCCGGGTCCATAGTTTCCTGTTGACTACCTCCAACCACCGTCTAATCTCATTACATAGTCCCCGCAGTGTCGAGTCACCTAGACTGGTGGCCACATTGCAACATGATCGATAGCATTCGATCTGCACTAATAAGGACTAGACAAGCATGAGATTGATCACCACCCAGTGATCAATCAATTGTGAAAATTATACTATACTATGACGACCTTGGGCAAACTATCATTGTCCAATCAGAAAATTATTAAAATAATAACATTGTCTAATCGAATTATTTATCGTAGTAATTGGATAAAGATTAGAATTAACGGTGAGAGTATAATTTATGGATGACCTTTGAGCGACATTGAAATGACCTTGAGTTGACACCTACTGATTAGGACCAAATGTGAAGGTTATAAAGCAATTAGATTTCGGGTTTTCATCACGAACAGATATCAGCTATAATGCCAAAACTTTAATTAGCCAAATGTATAGATGAATTTCGCGCCGAAAATCGTGACTCGTTAGCTGATTGGTTCGTCCATAAATTATAGTATCGCTGAATTAACATTTATCAATCAATGTAGAATTAAGAGTTGAGGTCAATATATCAGAATACTTTTTATTTATACTTGTGAAAGGAGATTTATGTAAAATAACTTTTTGGATTTGAATCTGCAAAACTTTAAAGATACTTTGAACAGTTCATAGATTATGCTAAAATGTTATGTACATAGGGACCTTGAAAGACTACACAACCATTTTTTACTATGCCTTGAATCTCGGCAAGTATGCTCAATCTGTTATAATTTCCCTTTCTATATATAGTGTGCATTAGTAGTAAGCCTTTTCCTGTTATTCAAACTTCACACCCTACCATTATTCTCTCTGTAAGTTGCACAACAGATGAGTTTATCGATTTCAAGCATTCAGAAAAATAGATATAGGTAAACTGTACTGCGCTCTGAATAAGTCACCAACTATTCGTTATGCTGTTTTAAGTTATACACACAGGATATCCAGAAGTTACCAACTTAAATCTGATTGAGTCGTCGGTACAGTATAGTTTTACTCATACAACAAGAGTTGTTTAATGATAATAGTAGCATGTATAAATGTGCATGTATGTGTTCGTTCATCTATGTCTTTCTTTTTTATTATTTTATGATACCCTGTTATTGTTAAATGATTGTGTTCACTTCTGGTGTGTTATGTACATACTGTGTTGCACTTATGAATCGACTGTGTGCCTTTTGTAGTACAATTTATATATATACAATCGAAATGTATGTCATATTGAAATGTTTTTATCCTTAGATATTTTTTTCGTTTTGCAAGATGTACTCAGTACTATTTTTTGTTACATTTTATCTGGGAGATCAGTTTTCATGTGGTTTCCATTCATGTACATGTGCATGTCCAGTAGTAGTAGTCGTCGTCGTCGTAGTAGTAGTAGTAGTACTACTACTACTATGACACTAAAGCTTCCCCTCCAGTGGATCACTCAATTGAAAAGCTTTCGATTTTTCGTAGTATATGCATTTTCATAACTGTTTATGATGAGAAAAATGTTCTCGTGTTTCAACTACTGATATAATGTTTGACATAGAACATTATTTTAAAACAATCAAATTAACTGTATTTATTTATCTGATCATCATTTTACACATGAAGAGTTATATGGCAATACAATTCAGCTTACATAAGTGTTATCTTAGAGACCATGTCAATTTAATAGCTAACTATCAGCCGTCTTGTACTCAAAACTTTCAATTGTTCTAGAATGAACTAATAATCCTCATCCAGTTCACGTAAAGCAAGTTTCCAACCGGTGTGCTCTCTCATGTTTGAATTTTGATTGTTTAAACTATCCACATGTGACTATCGTTTCTATCTGATAATAAATAGTATATGTTTAATGGTAAGACGTTGATACTTTTAATTTACATAATATGTAGTTATGGAAAATAAACCCACAAATAAACACATGTCCACATACAAGATTAAATCTCTTTTCATTCTCTCACAACTTTATTCTGATAATAAGCTTTAAATGAAAATAAATCTATGGGGAGTGTTTAGTATAGGAATAGGCTTAGAAAAAATAACTGAAATGAATTCTCATCTAGTGTTTAACCGGTCATAAAATAGCTTTTAGGTAAATAAATAAATAGATATTACACAATCAATGTAATTATTGATATCTTATACAGGTTATACATCATGTAAATCGAAGAAACAACATATAAACTGTTCCTAATGGTTGTTCATAATTAATCTTTTCAAACCCTTCAAAGAATTCATACATAGTTTGTAGAGTTTTCATATTGTTCCTAGTTATTGTTTGGATTAGAAGTTAATAGTTTTGATCACGAATTAACATCAATGTTACTCTGGTTTTTTGTTATTGGTTGTTAATCGTTTATCTGATGTAACATGAACTAGTCTTTGTATAGTGTACCCTTTGAGTATCCAATCTAGCGGTATTATAAACTCGGTTACTCAAATCAGAATTATTATCCTATTATTATTATTATTGTATTAATGTAGTTGTACCGTAGAAAGAGGACAATATTTTAAATCATCAGTTATACAATATATATCCCTTAAGTATGCTTTTACCTGAATTTCCAACTTTTAGATTCATGATAATGTGATAATGAAAAGGTCTATAGTGATATAAACCGTTATATTTTGTATCTACTTTGTTCAATAACTAGTCATACACAATTTTGTTGTTGTTTAAACTATTTATTCTCCATCAAACTAGAATTACTTTATGATAACATTAGGAGAGGTAACGTTATAACTCCATCAAGATGGGAAAGGGATTATTGTCAGGAGAAGTTTTGTATTTTATAGTAGATGATGTTGACGTTACACTGTAACAAAGGAATACTTATCCTTCAGTTAAGGAAGTTCATCACACTTTTATGAAGAATGTACAACTTTATCGTTAATGACTTGTATTCTGAATCATATCGAATAACATCTCCAGCCACTGTTTTACACTATTTCTGGGATCTTAACAAAGGAGTCTTAATGGACGAACAGCTTCATTTCATACGGCAACAACACGAAATGTTAACTTATTCTAAATTTATTGGTAATTTGTTTGATACCAGTAGTAATAGGACGATATCACTAAATACATGTCTTTTTTTGCCTATCTGTAATACACTTTATAACTGTAGAGTGTTTTATTTAGTATCAGATGGGTTTTGTGGATATTATAGTAATTTCAATGGTTAAGATCATAAGTCAGTTGAAGCTAGACCACTATGGAAAACCTGGAAGCACTGGAAGGCCGTTTCGTCCTATTGTGGGACTCCTCAGCAGTGCGCTTAAATATTCTTTGGTTTTGAACAACACACATAATCATTATCATGTTTACTTCTGAACTCAATCATTTTGATTTCTTTGAATCAGAAAAATCAGGTTGTAAAATATAATCTCTTATATAACAATATTAAGTTTGTTCTCACCTCCTCTCCCAACTCCAGTTTCTTCATCGGCTCAATTCAAATTGGTTGAATATCAATCGCTTACAGACATAGTGTTTTATTCATTTCCTACTATATCTTACTTAATACGTTAGTTACATTTAAAATATGTTTACTCCTTCGTCTTTGTGGAATGTAGGATCCTCATGTGTATTTGTACACTACAAATTATTTTTGATGTTATGTAAACATCCAATACATACTACACATGAAATGTGAATAGTCAAGGTTGAATGTATCGACATTCATTTTCTAGCGTATTATTATTTACTCGTTACTATGGTGACCTCTGTTTTAAATATTACTATTAATGTTCTATATGATCTGTTTTTATCGTATAAATAGATTAGAAATAAATTTCTTTATTTCATTTCATTTTGGACCAATTATGAAAATTATTCATTAGATTTCATAAACTTATTGTGTTTATTATAGACTTTAAAATATATCTGTTAATAATTGTAGTTAATAGTTTACGACTATCATTATAAAATATTGTTTAGTAATGTTAGTTACTTAGATGGATTATTGAAACTAGAATAAATATAGCTTCTTAGTAATGTGTAATCTATTAATGTATTATTTATTTATTTATTTTAACACATAGATATTGGTACAAGGAGGAACCAAATACATATGTGCCGCACAGATCTCATTTGATATGTGTGAGAGCTTTGATACTGTCCAGGTGCCCAAACTGAAGCAGGTGGTTTTCTTACGGGGCCACACCCAGAAACTTCGACCTAAAGGTCTAACCTACAAGGCAGTGGAGCATCGTAAGGCGATGCAGTCCCATCGTAGTCGGTCACCAATAACCGATTCGTATGCCATTTGTTTCCTTAGGATCGTGGAGCTCATGCACACCATTGGTTTGGAATGAGGGTTTTCCAACTCCCCTAAGTGAACCGTTCATATCCACCAACCCGTGGAAGCGCCAGATATTTGCTTTTCATCCTCTCAATTTCGTAAAGAACACCCTCGCCACGAGAATGCAATATACGCGTGGCCGTGTGAGAGCATTTCTAGAGGGAGAGCAGACTCTCTCCACTCTTGGTCGTACCAGGGCATTTGGGGGCAATTTATTAATGATGTTAATGTACACTGATAGCCTAGTTTAATAACTGTGGTTTCTACTGTACAATCATTCATAGGATAGAGAATGATATCTCCAACCTAAAAAGTATTAAAACTTTAATAAAAGAATATGGTTCATTGCTATATCTTGAATTAATTATCATAAAGTCTTCCTATTCGATCTATTTTGTGCTTGTTTAGAAGCTTCAAAGAAAACTTCAAAATTATTTAAATATATAAACCGGCTTTACTGTGCTCATTGGTCATTTAGATCCAAGATCTATATCCAATATTTAACTTTGTTACTCTACTTAACAATGAATTAGTGATAGTAATAATGATCTAATGTAAACGTTTTATATAACGGAACTATTGATTGAACTTCAAGAATTTCAGGTCGATTTGTGATAATCTGTTATATTTTACACAATGCAGCCATTCAATATCGTTTTTGTGTGCAAAACTCGTCACTTCCATACTGTTTGTTTGAATCTAAGACTAATATAAACTATTATACTTCATCGAACGAGGAACTATTTGTTAGAGAAATATATGAATAATCTATACGCTTTGGTATATGTCAGATGTTTTATTTGATCCGACGAGATCTTATGATATCTGATCAGATCTTTATCACTGTAATGCATATGACCAGTATATAATACTAATCCCCTATGCTAGTAATTAACATGTGCTCACTAGTGACTAGCTTCGTGAAGGAGTTCTCGGAGTTCTAGTGAGAAGACGTGACCAGTGGAGCTAATCCATGTCGGGTAGAGACAGGTATCTACCTCAGTAAAATGGAAGATGGTCACGCAACTTCGTGGATTGGTTGATGTTAGACACTATCACCATTGGATGCCGGCTCAGTGGTCGAGTAGGTAAAGCGTTCGCGCGTGAGACTGAAGGTCCTGGGTTCGAGTCCCGCTCGCGTGATCGTGGGTGCGCATTGCTGAGGAATTCCACAATAGGACGAAACGCCCGTCCAGTGCTTCCAGGTTTTCAAAGGTGGTCTAACATCAACCGGTTCATGATCTTAATCAAAAAACTTTGTTATTATTATTATTATTATTATTATTATTATTATTATTATTATTATTATTATTATTATTATTATTATTATTATTGGCTACTCAGTACCGGTGCGCAACGTTTTTACTTTTAGTGTTATCACACAAATATGCATGCATTTTAAAAAAATCTGTTTTTAAGATCACTCAGAATTTTTAAGAGGCTTATTTTCGTTAAACGAATTGATAATACATGAAACTGTTATTAACTGTATTGATAATTGAATACTTCGATTAATTTCACACATTTCAGTTTTAAGTTCTTATTGTAGAGAACATTAATCATTATGATGCATTGTAATTTATCAGATTACTTTTACGATTAATGTCATGTACTGTTCTGTTTCGTTTTAGTGTGAGACTCATCAGCAGTGAGAGATAATTCCCAGGTTTCTAGTAAGAAGCCGTGACAAGTGGAGTTTAATTATGTCAAATCAGAGGCAGTCACTTACTAATGATACTAGACGATGGCTTCTCGATATTACAAATTGATGGATTCTGACCCGTAGTTCTAAAGGTTTGAGGCCTATCACGAAAACATAGTAATAGAGTCGTGAATACTCACTGTTATAAAGTACCATACTTTTCAAAAACCTCTGTTCAATCCTTTCTGGCTTCCTATTGACTATCCAACTAGTACTTAGTGTTGCCATCTGTGAAATTCAGCAGATTTTCACAGATCTTTCGTAGTAATACGAATGAATTTTTTTTATCTGTTCGGATTTTAAAAAATGACAAGTTGTTTATCAGAGTATTTAATTTGGTAAATTACATATCTCTTTAATAATCGTCATGAAGAATAACCTATTCAAATATTATGTGAGTTGTACTTTATCGCTTGTGACTGCTGGCCAATATCACGTACCAAGTCACCAATCAAAACCTTAATTGTAATTTAGTCCATTTTATATCTACTATTTCCTCGATAGTCTAGTGTCTCCAATTCGATCGATTGCACCGCACTACTGACCTTGAGTCGTTGTAGCTAATTTCTTATTGGTCTGTTATACGCAAATTACTCTCTACCTCGAGTCTAGAAGTAGCAACCAGCCTCCAATTTATGTTTTCAACGGACGTGGTTTATAAACAGATATAATGGACTACAACGTATCATAAATTGAAAAATTACAATTATTCATGAACAAACCGTAACTTACCGTTAAAGTGTTAGACTGTAAGTAATCGACTGATAACAAAGCAGGAATGGTGAATTGTGTAACAGTAGTTAATGGGTTAAATGAAAGATTACGACAAATAGATAGTATAGACATAGTAGTCCAGTTCATCATTACTAATAGAATAAAATAATAATTGTAACTTTGATAAACTTAGTCTCAACTTTCACAATATCGTTCCTTTATAAAATTACTTCTACTAATAATAGTAAAAATTCACTTAACTAGTACATATATGTGGTACAACTCAATTATTGAATTGGGTTGAATGAACTACGTAGAGAAAAAAAGTGTGATTTTCACTCATTGATTAGGTCAATACTTTTAATTAGCACTATAGATAAATCAGGTGATCATTATCTTTATACTTCTTTATCAAACCTTAATATGATATGTCTTTATCCAAACTGTATTATTTAATTATAAGATTCATTCTTCATTTTCCTGAACAAAATTTGCAGGTACGCTAGATTTCTTGGAACAATGTATTTTCTACATTCTGAGTGTCGTCTATTTCTGTGTTTATGTCAACACCCACTGTAATTATTATTTTCATTTTTGTAAGATTATTATGAAAGTCGTCTGTATGCTCATTCCTTCCTTAATAGCTAATTAGTTGGTTGGAAAGTTGTTACACTGTATTCATCATCAAAACAATCTTTTTGTCTATGTATAATAATTTCATTTTTAAATTTTTCTTACTGGCATTCTTCATAAGCTGTCTATTTCTTGATTACAATTTCGTACTACTTATATCATAAATAAGTAGTTCATTATCATCTCACTTATTTCGTTATGTACTGTCCTTTTTAATTTGAAATCTTTTTATTTTCTTTGCTTCATTAAATCTAGACACAAATTGGTTCATGTATTAAAGAAGCATTTCTACAATTTATGGTACATTTATTGAAAGATTATCGTTTATGTCTTGTACCTGTTCGTAATTCTCAAACGGATGTTATGTTTAATATTGAACGTAAGTAAAATTTCATAGTTGTAACACGTAATAAACATGAATTTATACTTGCAATATTTTCCATCTGCTGAGGTATTAATGTCTCGCTTTTCGAACCTCGCTTAACCTCTAGACTACTGAGCCGGTATCTAACGGTGTTGAAGTCTAACCTTAAACAATCCATGAAATTGCGCGACTGTCTTCCATTGTCTTTTGTAGACACCTATCTCTACCCAACACAAAATGGAATGCAGTGGTCACGGCTTCTCACTAAACGTTTCCTCACTATTATTATCAGTACGGGGTTGTGGAGATTGTTAGGTTTATGACTAATATCATGAATCGATTGATCAGGACCGTATGTCTTGGGTTCGAATTACATTCGCGAGATCATGGATGCACACTTTTGAGGAGTTCCGTACTAGGACGAAAAAGGCCGTTCAATGCGAAAAGCTATTATTCTGAAAAAAATGATTGTAATCTTTGGGCTATTGAGATTTGGATATCAGTGTTAAACACTCAATACTCGAAAGCTTTCTATATATTGTCAGTCAGCCAGTGAGTAATAACGTAGAACTTCGTACGTACGTACATCAGTTCGAGTTGCTATACCACATTAGCAGAGAGATACAGTTGTCGATTCAAATCCCGTAGTGGTAGAGGTAGTAAGAGTATAAGCAGTAATCGGAAAGATTAAACTTTGAAGATGTTATTTAAATAGTATAATACAGTGAAATAAGTTTGGAAAGAGATAAAAGAAAGGGACATGAAGAATTCAGAAGATTAGAATTCGGCAGAACATAAAGAGTGGATGCACCTGCACCATTGCAAACGATTTTGGGCCATTTCATTCAGGGTCTCTAACCATCGGTTGCTATTATCTCGCGGTCCCCAACCAGGTAGTCTAAACCTAAACTTGTCAGTGACTTCATGCACTTGTGCCATGTTTTGATTTGGCCGCCCCTACCTTTCTTTCAACTTACTTCTACATCATAAAACATCGCATGTCAGGGCAGTCGGTGGTTGGCCATACGTAGCACGGGTCCCAGCCATCTCAACTGATGAAGTTTCACCACTTCATCAATTGATTCGCCATCCTTACCTAGTACCCGTTTCCTAACAACTGTGTTACTTACTCGATGGTCCCAGGATATACGAGCAATGTTTCGAAGACACCTATGATCGAATACTAGTAACCTACGAATATCCTCTACTCTTACCGGCTATGTTTCACTGCTGTAAAGTAGGACGGGACGAACTGCTGCGCAGTAAACACGTCCTTTGGTTGATAGACGGATATCTCGCCTACGCCATAAATGACGCAAGTTGGCGAAAGTAAGCTAGTCGAGCCTTCTGTATCCGTGCTGAGATTTCGTCACACACCAGACCACAAGGGCTGATGAGACTTCCAAGATAAGTGAAGCAATCGATACGCTCAATTACATCACTCCCTGTCATTAGTTCGGGTGTCAATGCAACCCAATCCTGAAGCAACATTTTGCATTTCGAGGGGGAGAATCGCATGTCGAACATGCTTGCATTGTTGCGTAGAGTGGTCAAAAGACTCTGCATTTTGTCAGCGTCTTCACCAAATAAAACTATGTCATCAGCATATTCTAGGTCAAAAAGTGAATCTCCTGGTAGAAGTTCAACCCCTGGAAAACTAGATAAGGAAAGTGTCATCTCAAAAAGCACCTCAACGACAAAGTTGAACAAGAATGGGGAGAGTGGACAGCCCTGATAAACACCACTTGAGGTAATCAATTCTGATGACAGTTCGCCATAAGCTCTCACTCGACCAGTTGTGTTCGAGTAGAGAGCCTTTACAAGGTTAATGTACTTCTTTGGTACTCCTTTCAGTGACAAATACTGCCACAGAACCTCACGATCAACAGAGTCGAATGCTGCCTTAAGGTCGAGAAATACTACCATTGTGGAGCGTCCGAATGTGTGTCTGTCTGACGTAGTGTGAATATGTGGTCTATACAACGACGTCCAGGTCGAAAACCAGATGTTTTTGCTTATGCTTAAAGTTAGTACTTGCAATGGAGAGGCGGTTATCTGAGCATAGCTGCAGCAGACGGTCGCCATTATCTGTTCTTTGAGCCACGACGTTATAAGATCCAGCCAGGTAGCTTTCTCCATCTCTTAGTTTACCTACCTGAGCAATAAAGTCACCAGCCACTAGTACTACATCAGAACGCCTAGTATTTCTGAGGTCGGAAAGCTTTCTGTAAAACTCATGTTTTACATCATCTGAGCTGCAGTCAGTGGGAGAAATAGGCAGGGACGACGAAGAGGCAACGACGAGTGTCCCTGTCTTTCCGTATCCTTACTGTTCCGTTTAGTCGAACAACGCAGAAATGACTGTTTACTGGGATCCACTCTAAGAGAGCTAGTTCTGCCCTAGGACTCAATGCTATGCCTACGCCGGCGAGGCCACGAGAAGCAGCATCAGTCCTCCAGATGCACGAAGTGTGAATCGAGTTGGTTCTTTATTTTGGCATGGTGAGGTGAAATGAATGACGCTATATATATATATATATATATATATATATATCATCTGAAGTGTTTTTCATACTTATTTCACTTAAATCCTATCTCTTTCCATTTATTTTTCAATCAGATTTCTTACGAGAATGCGCTGATAAGCATACAATACCATTTTATCGTGCTTTATTTGAAACACAACAATGGAATAATTTTGTTCGTGATCGAATTTACGCTTCTTCACGTGATGAAGAATTAGATTATTTCGATAATCGTATTGAATTGTTGCTGGAAAGTGAATCGAAATCTCGACCACATCAACATCAACATCTTCATCGTTCTCGTAATAATATTAGTTTAACAACTATGAGTAATATCTTCACAATTAAACGATCGGCATCATCGTCTCATGAACAACTGAGCATTACAAATAATCATAATAGTAATAGTAGTAGTAATAATCATCTAAGCTATGCGGATCATAATAATCATTCAGAAGATCGATCAGTGTCAAGTAACACATCGATCAAAGATAGATCGGATGAATCGACGGATTCACAGCTTTCAAGTGATTTAGGGCTTTTACCTAATAATAACAAGTGAGTGTTTTTCTCATCTTCGAATTCTTTTTTTCTTAATCAGTTATTTCATTTGCATAAAATCTAATACGATCGGGTAGTTGTATATGTCGCACAAAAAAGATAACGTTGTGAAGAAATGAAGGAAGGAAATGCAGTGCATGCAACAAGAAAAACAATAACAGTGTAAATAAATAAAGTTATTATCATGAGAGAAGATACAGTTTAGTTTTGAAATACAAACAGAATGGATCCCTTCAGTCGAAGAAATTTCTTGTCAGTTTTATCAAGAATATAAGAAAAATTGAATAGCTAATAGTTTCCATACTGAGTCGTGTTTAGTGCTATGTCAATCCACGAAGTCATGTCATCTATAGGATTTTAACTACAAGATTCTGATGGACTGACAGATACTGGTCTTATACAGCTTCATTTCATACCACGACATTATATCACAAATTGATCACTTCTCCACCTTCCCTCTAAATCACAGTCTCGGTAATTAATCCACGAAATGAAAGCGCCTGCGTTGAATTTCTTAAAATATATCTAAGGGATTAAAGCTGGAGTTCAAAGATGATGGTAATAACTAAACTATCTTTACAGGAGCCTAACATGCATTACGAAAGATCAGTATTACTAACATGGTTTTGTTATTGAATGTTAGCAACTTTTTAGAAACAAAAAAAAGATTCCCTTCGCTGACTTCATTGATGTATGTATTTATGCATCATGTAGACAGGAACGTACAACATTCACCTTGTTATCAGTATATTGCAAGTAGTTTTCTTATCAACTAGTCTCTAAAACTATTTTAGGCACGACATTTTTCTTTCTAACTTGAAGAAAAATATGTTAACAGATAAATTCACTTCAAATAATGGTCCTCTTCTATCACATGTATTGCATATAGAATGTGATTATATTAATAATGCAGTTAGATTACACATTTTGCTCAGATGTACAGACAATACCTATACGATAACTAAACTGTCGAGTTAATGAGTTGTAGCCAACCCCACCTTATCTACTTGTCTGGTTCATACAATCTGGTCTAGAAATAGTAGAGTATTGTTTAGATGAACAATAGACACTTAGTGATTGAAGGTTAAATCAAACATGCTGTCTTTTCTAATTTTGCGCATGCCACAAACTGTTTCTCATCATCAACTTCCACGACATCTAACCTCGATATGCGTTACCTGGTATTCTCCTTCTACAACTGAAGTCGCGAATCAAATTGATCACATTTCTATATGCATTTGATTGCTTAGTTGCTCTTATGCATTCCTGGAATACAACCAATTGTTGTCGTAAGCGAATCGGTACTAGAAAATTGTCACTACTTGTTTATTTATTTAAATACACAAACATTGGTACAAGGAGGCACCAAATAGATATGCGCCATATAAACCATTCGATTTGTGTGAGGGCTGTGATACTGCCCGGGTGCCCAGACCGAAGCAGGTACATATGAATAACAAACGAGGTCAAATAATCATGAGGTTTGTATATTTGGGCTAGGATTTTAGTACAGAAATACCATTAAGCGCTTTAGTTCAATTCATAATTATATTTATCGGTTCATTAGTCCGACAAAATGACAATGAGCTAATGATATGAAGTGACCTCTCACCAATGAATCACAATCTAGTCGATCTAGCTTTAGCCAAATTCAATTTTTTTAATTAACTGGTTGTTTTCCTTGTTTCAATTAGTTTATTTTTATTCTTTTCCTATCCATTTTTTAGTCTGTGTATAACAGTTATTAGTCCTCCATGTTGGCCAGTTCCTGAATTCGTCGACACACCTCAACTGCAACACTTATTATGGACAAAAAAACATTCACTCGGTTTTTTTCCAACTAATATTAATTCTGCATTATTAGACTTATTAGCTTCAAGAGCATTTCTTTTAAAAGCTAGTTTGTCAAATAATTCTATAATCACACCAATGTTTAATGTTAATGATAACCCTGATAATTCCACTCTAATTACTACATTAATAACATCAGTACCAGAAGAGGTTAAAAATAAAGAGAATTGCATTTCTTCTAATTCTACCATCTGTAGTGATATGCTTTTATCACCAACTCCTGTCAACTGTTGGTCAAAATCCCCAGTAAATACCAATATTTTAGACCATAATCCAGATTCTCGAACACCGACTGGAATGTCAATATTAATGATGACAAAACTACAACTTAACACTACTCAAAGATTTGGCTCATTAATGTTAGTAAACAGTCCATCTCCACTAATTATTCGTTCAAATCGTCCAGAGAATATGAGTTTAATTGGTTTGAGTACAAAATATTGTTTACCAGTGAATAATGCAACTATTTTAAAACGTACATCGCAAGAATTACGATATACGCTAAATCATTGTGAGTTGAATGGAAAACAGTTTCTTTCCATGTAATAAGTTCTAATAATTATTTTTTTTACATCTTTTCTAGAGGAGACGGATAGGTGAAAAAAAACCCACTGGGTTTACACTGATTTTCTATTAGTTACTCAAAGCAGTCTTAGTAAGTTAGTTGACATTCACTAAGATACAAGATTGAATGCAAGAAATATAGAGATCTATTTGTTTACCTGATAAAGGATCAAAATATTATTGCGAAATAAACATTTTTCCTGACACAACTTCTATTAATACAGCAATACTTTCACTTGTTTCAAAGAAAAGACCATTTTTTGTTAATGTGACATTTTCTTGTTACGTGCTTGTTTCTTTAAAAATTCACTAAACTCGTCAATAATGTTACTTTAAAAAAAACGCAAAAGTAATATTATCGATTAGTTCAATTCTACTCCCAGTAGGCACCTGTGTCCTATTCACTAATTGACACATCAACCATTAAATAACAACAAAGATGTTAATGTTTATTGGTTCTCATGCCCCTTCTAACCAATCAGAAGACGAAGATAAAATGCAGATCAACTTTCAGTTGTGATCAATTCAATCATGGTTTTTAACTTACACATTAATATTCCTGAAATAGCTGACTACACAGCACCACAATTTAGGAATTACAATATATACGTAACTTAGTTATAACTAATACGAAATCGGAGTAATAAATAAATATTTATATAATGGTAAATCTCGACTAATAAGATATAACAACAATTTATTTATCAAACAAAAGTTTAGAAAACAAAGACAATTTCATCATGGAACAATCTAAGGCTGTACCATTTGTACACTAAAGATATAGATAAATGGTCTTTCATATAATCGCCTTAAAAGTTATACTTCACTTCAATTCTCCTCATTACGTAATTATGTTTGTTTTTTGACATTTTCACTCTTCTAGGTATTAACATTTCAGAAACTGAGGATTATACGAAAGTCAAGTATTTAGCAGGATCTGCCTATTCAATTTGGTTTATGTTATTACCAGGTTATCTATCTTCTGTGTATAAATACTATACAGATGAAATCGACAATATAAATCATTGTGTGAATAAAACTGAAATTGTTAATGAATATCATAATGTACAACAACAGAGTGGAAGTACAGGGTGTAAATTATTCAATCCTATTATTAGTAATAATAATAATAATAATAATAATAATAATAATAATAATAATAATAATAATAATAATAATAATAATAATAATGGTAATTATCTTGAAGTGATGAATGTAATTAAACAAATTATAATACAATCGCTTGGTGTATACAAGAGAATGCACGACTATGAACTTGAAGTTCCTGATCAGGTTAGATTTTGAATTATTAATCAATATACAATCTCATTGACCAACCTTTTAACCTATTCTCTGTATATATATGTGTGTGTGACAGATAGTTGAAGTCGAAAATAGTCACTACTCAACTCTACTTCCAAATTCTTGTGACTGATGACTGTATAGAGGCAATCTGCTCAGGATATGGATATGCCAGAAGAAACTGATCAATTATAGTGAATATTTGTTGACTGAGATGGTTAGGATATATGTTATGTATGCCAACGCACGAACTAACTGGACATGCGATGAATGCTGATGTAGGAATAAATTGGAAGGAAGCTAATAGTGACCAAACCAAGATACGCCATCAATCTCTGAAGATACTAACTATGGGAATAAGTCATGTGGGTAAATGCAGATATTTTAGTTGAGATCCACGTGATTATCGTAAATCTATGGTTATCGAATTTGGATAACATAAATCAAAATCATTTGCAATGGCCCAGATGCACTTACTTCTTGCCTTTCATTAGAGCCTGAGTCCCGAATTCTCCTTGTGCCTTTTCTTCTGGCTTCTACTCTTAATCTTTTCCACTACTGTTACTATTACTACTCCCACTATTTTATTTCAGTGTGTTTATGTGGTACGAAAACCTGAACTGATGCACGTAGGTGTCAGGTTCTACTTTGACGAATAGCTGAAGTTTTCCATATATTGCTGAATCCTTCTGTCCCAAATAGAAAAGAAGGCCTTTACTATCCATCCGACTAGGAACATCTTTTCGAGCTACTGTATCTCATTCTATCCACATCTCACACCAATACCATATATACAAACTCAACTCTATCCTTTCACATTACAAACATCACAATTTTTATCTGCTAACACACGCATGCACACATTCGCAAACATGTCTTATATAAATCACCTTACCGGAGTGATATGACATTGACTTGGCCGGACTTGTTTTATAATTGATTGTGCCGACTATTTTTGATTCGTTTCTTTATAATATTTAACCTAGGGTTAACCTAATCTGCTTGCTTATTCTCTGAAGAAATGGCTTACAGTGAGTCACGAAACGTCAGAAAACTTATTATTTTCTACTCATTCGAATATTAACAAATATATTATTAATATTAATAAAACAGTGATATCTGTTTTTTTGCTTGTGGTGTAGTATTTTATCTCTAACATTATTACTTGATTGTTTCAGGTTGCTTTACGAATATTGTTAGTGTTATTGTATCAAAATCGTATTGAAGATTTCGATTTACTGAAGTTCATTAATTCAGCAGACTGGTCATCATCGTCATCTGGAATTGCGAATCATGTAAGCTTTGTTTCTTTTTCGATAAATATGATAGTATTTTTCAGTTTATCTGATGACTCTAATACTCTAACAGAGACTACTAATGCCAGTTTTGTAGCAGTCATTTCATCCTTTGTTGTTTTCCACTAGACTACGTTTATGTCCGAGTATTCTCTATCTAATCATTTTAGACGCTTCATCATACACTACTCATTTTGAATATCAGTAGATGAATTCGTAAGTCATTGGAACCATGAGACAACCTAGGTTACATCACCATTGAAAACCTGGAAGCATTGGACTGTCGTCTCACTAATGACTAGCTTCAAGAGGAAATTTCTAGAGTACTATTAAGGATCCGTGACCAGTGGAGCTAATCCGTATTACGTGTTACTCAGTTACCTACCGCAAATAATCGAAGGTGGATGCACACTATCGTGTATTGATTGGTGTTAGACATTAACATCGTTGAATGCCAACTCAGTGATCTAGAGTTTGAACGTTCATGCGTGAGATCGAAGGTTGTGAGTTCGGTATCCGCGTTCAGGATCGTTGCTGAAAATTACTGAAGAATCCCATACTAGGACGAACCAGGCATCCAGTGTTTTCGGGATTTACTGGTGGTCTAACTTATATTGGTCCATAACTTTAATGAAATTCAACTATTTCCACTATTCATTACTGAGACTATACATGTGCAATATTTGGTCCAGTCTAATATCTGTTCTTATGTAATCCATATGTTGTTTCAATATCATATTGTTTAAAATGTTGATTCTTATAAAGTGTACTAAAGTACATATTTACTTAGTTAGTCTAGTTTGCTCAATGAATTTGTCCATGTGTTTTTGAAAAATACCATAATCATCTATGGTCAGCTATTTACAACTTTCATCATACAACCTTCGAGACTTAGCGCAGGTTCATTTACTCTTTGTGTTCTCCCAAATTCTAATCTCCTGAATTTTTCATGTCCCTTTTTTTTCTCTTTCTAAATTTATTTCGCTAGATTATACTCATTGAGTAACATCTCCAAACCCTAATCTTTCCGATTACTGCTTATACTCTTACTACCTCTACCACTATGGGATTTGAATCGACAACTGTGTCTCTGTGCTAATATGGTATGGCAACTCGAACTGATGTACGTACGTACGAAGTTCTACGTTGTTACTGACTAACTGACTGACTCATATTGAGACTTGGTCTCCATCTGAAGTACGATTAGGGTGAATGAATTAAAAATTAGATAATATAAATAATGATAATAGTTATTAGAAACAAGATTATCGAATTTTTCAGCTTAATTGTATCAGTGATAAATTGATAGCTGTCTCCGTTTTAGTCCACAAGTTTTTATTTGAATCTTTAATTAGCTACTCTCACGTAGCATATAGATGCAAGTTGCATAATGTTTTTCCTAGAATTTTTTCATTTCTGTAAACTTGAATTTAAAATGTCGACAACATGACCTCTGTTGATCCATTGCCAAGTTTCTGCAATGTTGATAAAAGTGGTCACTTTTAATCATAATACATTTTACAGTTGGTTAATCCTGTAATTTCTTCGCTTTTCAAGCTGAAGTGTAGAAAAATAAGTTTTTTTTCCATAACTATATTGTGTTCATTCTATGTTTTTGACTACTTATTGTTAAAATTGCCAACCAGTTATCTGAATTTTTTTTTAAGAAACTACGATGTCGTTAAACATTTCAAAACCTTTTGTGCAAAGTAATGAAGTTTTTCAAAACAATAAAGTCTTTAGTTCCCAGGAATTCGTTAATTGGCATACATTCACTAATTTATCCATATATAGAATGCTGCATTTAACCACACTCGTAGTACAAGAGGTTGTAATACTGCTCGGTCACTTAAACTAAAGCTGATCCAACAAGGTTCGAACCTATGACATCATAATGTGAAATATGATTCCATAATAGCTAAGTCATAGGTCTACTTCTATTTTAAAGTTTATTAAACTATGTTCTCTCTCTTTCTTATCACAGATATTAATTCAATATTTCAACATTTTTTTTAGATTTACAAAGCATTTGAGAAAGAGTTGAGAGAACATGAAAGATTAGAAAATGAACGTTTGATGTCCACATCTGAACATCATAGTCATCGTCGTTCAGCTTCTGCCGATACTGAACTGAATCCATCTACACAAGTTAATAGTTCTGAAAATACAAGTTCGTTTATACATATATAAAAAATCATTTTATTGTCAGGTTGTTTCTGATTGTTGTGGTTTTAATAAACTTAAATAGATGAATTGCGGTTAGCAATAGAATTCATCGTGTTCGTTTCGTTCTATTAAGGACTCGTCAACTGCATATACCTGTATCCTAGTATGATACTTGTATTGAAACGTAGAACGAGTACTTTTTGCTTCAAATATCTAATGTGTTATCAACTGAGATACTGAGTTCAGATAGCTATCAACATGTTCAACATGTATAATGTTTATATCATTATTAAAAATGAACTGGATTATCCCGTTGTCGATATTTAAGGTTAAATTTCGACCAGTCTTCATTATACATGTGCATAATTTGTGGATATATGTATATATATTATTTTATACTAATTTGAACAAGTGCATATTTATACTAGTTCCTTCTTGGTTTATAAGTAACTAATACACAGCAATCGGATTTCTGTCACCCCTTCTTTTTCTTCTGGTTGACTGGATTATGAAGACCTCCACATCTGAGGGGAAGCACGGAATACAATGGACAGCTCGGAATCAATTAGGAAATTAGGACTTCTCAGGCGGCCGGACCCTTCTATCGCATACATATCAACAAATGCAGATGAAGACAACTAGTGTAGCAGCAGCTTTTGCTACATCAATGTGCTTCAGCATGCATATAAGAAAAACCAAGATCCTAAATTACAACACAGAGAACACCAACACAATCACGTTTGATGGAGATGCTCTGAATGAGGTGGAAACTTTCACATACCTGAACAACATCATCGATGAACAAGGACGATCTGATGCAGATGTAAAGGCAAGAATTGGCAAAGCAAGGACTGCATTCCTACAGTTGAGGAACATATGGAACTCAAAACAACCGTCAGACAACATCAAAGTCATAATCTTCAATACGAACATCAACACAGTTCTACTGTAATGGGTTGGTGTCGAACGAAATTTCAGCACGGATTCGAAAAGTTCTTTTGGCTTTTGCCAACTTACGTCACCTATAGCGAAGACGAGATATCCGTCTATCAATAAAAGGATGAGTATACTGCGCGGCACTTCATTCTGTTTTAATTTACGGCAGCAAAACATGGCCATTAAGAGTATAAGACACTCGTAAGCTACTAGTATTTGACCACAGATGCCTTAGAAATATTGCTGGCGTCTGTTGGGATCACCGGGTAAGTAATAGGGAGGTTCGACGCAGGGTATTAGGGAATGATGGTAAATCAGTTGATGAGGTTGTTAATCTTCATCAACTGAGATGGTTGGGCCACGTGTTACGTATGCCTGAACACCGATTACCACGACGCCTAATGCTGACCAATGTTGTGGATGGTTGGAAGAAAGTTAGGGGCGGCCAAACCAAAACGTGGCATCAGTCCACAAAGTCACTAACTTATGGTATGAGCCATGTTGGTAGATGCAGACTACTTGGTTGGGGTCCGCATGACTATCGTAACCAATAGTTGGAGACTGTGGGTGACATGACTCAGAATCGATCACAATGGCGTCGGTGTATACACTCTTTGTCTTCACTTAAACTAAGAGATTAAAATCGCTTCATATCTTTCTTTCTGTACTATATCCTCGTATGCAATCTTTCTTTCATATATTACCACCACTGAATTAACAAGTTCTATGAATCCGGTGTTAATCTTGTGCTATAAAGTGTTATTTTTTCTATTGAATGTAGCTGGCGTCATAGTACCTCAACCGTTTAATTCATCTGATGATCTTACTGATCAAGGATATTCAACATTGAATATACATGAGGATAAGACAAGTTCAGATCAAGATTGGTCACCTGTTGTTGACCAATCTACAAATATCAACAATGATTCAATGTCATGTGTTGTTTCAACCAATGATAATCATCCACTTCCAATGGAACAACATCAACGGATTCAAGAATTAACAGAAAATCATCATGATTCATCTGTTATTGGTAACGGTAACGACACTTTGTGTCATCACAGTTCACAATCAAAAGAACACAAAACTAGTACGGCGTTTTTCTAGTATACAAACGTATTATTTATATGATTTATTCCGTCAAAGTGTACAGTTGATCATTTTGTTTGCTTAATTGATATAGGATCTGATACGCCTGGGGATCAGAAATAATGTGCGTCACATATAGGTATATTGCCAGAGATCTTAAACCAAAGCAGATGATTTCCTTAGGGGGCCACTCCTCGAGCCTTTAACCCTAAGGGTTTAATCCACTAGCGACGTAGCAACTTATGGTGATGTTTTTTGATTACCAATAACCAAGAATGTGTTCGTGCACTAATCGTTACCTCGGAATCACAGAGACCATGTATACGGACTATTTAGTATCAGGATTTCCTAACTCTCGTAGATAAATCCACCATATCTAGTCCGGTTTACATGTCAAACGTCAACTTTTTTGTCCTCTCACTTTCATAAGTAACACTTCTGGACGAGTGAAGTTAGTAGCACTTCTCTGTCATAGGTTCAAAATGCACGGGCCTTTAAGAGCATTTCGAAAAAATATTGGATTCTCTTTGCCCTTTGGCGTATCTAGGCAGTTCAGAACAAAATTGCTTACTAAAAAGTTTTGAATTAAATAAAGTTTTACGCTAAGATTCATTACATATTCACTGTCAACTATTTCTTGAGACAGTCATCTTACCGTGTTTATATCGTCTTTTATACCGATACAGTACTCATTATGATTTGAATTCCAACTTAGTTAAACTCATTTTACTAAAATCAAGTTAATGTCATGCAACTGACTAAGAGTTTAAAATCCTAACCATTACATGATGTATTTTTAAACTAAAAATAGATTTATATGAACTAAAGTCGGGATTCCTCTTGTGTTCTTTCTGTCTTTCTATCCAAATATATAGATATAGATATATATTCTATCTGGTAATTTATCATCTTTTACAGGTTGCATTTCAAATACTGTCAGCGAATCTATACATTCTTCCAGTTTAAATTATCTTCAACCATCAAGCTTGAGTAATGTTGAGCAATCAGATCCAACTATAGTTATTGGTAATGATGATGAAAATAATAAAACACACGTAAGGGAAAACCCTTCATCAATAGTGGAGAATCATATTAGTGCTCCAGACACTGCTAAGTCTGTTTCTGCCTCAGCTGACGTTATTAATGATCACAACAATAGTAGTAGCAGTAGTAATGGTACCAATCTCAGTGATGATGATTCATGCGCAGATGATGATGAAGATTCTGAAAATGAACACATTCATTACGGATATAATTTACTATCATCAGCGTTATCAAAAATCAAACGTCCATTCCTTCAACATTATAATACTTCGCCTGCTACTACTACTACTACTACTACCACTCATAATCCGTCATCGTATCATCGTACTCCTTATTCACATCATAGTAGTATAGATGTGACTCGAGATAGTAAACATTTATTATTTTCAAAATCATCTAGACAATCATTTGATGATAGTTCTTCGTCAATTAATGTTATGAGACAATCAGCGCATCATCAAAATATTATGACTAGTATTCCGACTACCACTACTACCACTTCTGTTACTACTACTAATGATAATTCAAATTTGACAGCTACACTTGTGGATAATAATAATAATAATGTTGATAATGATGATGATGATGATGAAGACAACGACGAAGACAATGAAGATGCTAATGCACAGACCAAAGTTTCAGTTGTTCATAATGCATTGAACTTTTTTAATAGGTAAGTGTCATAAAAAACATGACATTATTTAAAATTCCTCCAGGAAATAAAGATCTAAAAAAACTTTAAAAAAAAAGGATTGTTAGATTAAACAATCGTTTTCAAAGACTTCTTCTTTTACATATTCTAGTGTAGAGAACCTGACGAAGTTATCGATAGTAATTATTCTGTTCATTATTCACTTTTTTCAAAAAGACAAACCTTTTTACCATTGTCGAGACGTCTTCATTCGAGTAGATTTATTATAAGAGCAGTTGTATTTTAATGTTGGTTTGTTGTGCTTGTTCGCTTTATGTTTATCAAATCAATGACTTACTCTAGACTAATGAAAAAGAAACGACCAAAATTTTAACACCTATTGGTCAATATGCTACTTGTAACCCAGTTTCTGATTAGATGATTTTGGGAAATAGATTCTAACTCTGTTGTTTATTATCAGTATAACTCAAAAACTCTCATGATAATATACACTAAATACTTGTTCACACAGTACTACATATAGAAAATCACTATGTGTACACAACTGAGTCAAAAATGGTGCAGAGCGAAGTAGTGTGGAGGAGTAATTAATCAGTGATGATTTCGGAACAGTGGAACACATATGATAACAATTTATGAATCAAACTAAAGCTTTCAAGTACAAGAATAGAAAAATGCAACTGTCCAAGTATTTGATAATCCCACAATAAAAATATAATCGTCCTAGTATGGAACTCCTCAGCAGTGGACATTCAATTTCGTGAACGTAAGAAGCAAACCTGTGACTTTTAGTCTCGCTCACAAATGCTTAAATTCTATACCACTAAGTTGCCACACAACGGTGTTAATGTTTGACATTAATCAATCTACGATTTACTGCGCGACGATCTTCAATTGTTTGTGGTGGGTAACTGAGTTACATCCTATAAGGATTAGCCCCACTGATCACGGTTTCTTCTTACAAAATTGATAGTATTGTTAGCTTCCCAAAAGTCTATTATTCATAGTTTAATACTTGATTCTCTATGTAGTCATACTTTTCATACTTTTCACTTCGTTCTCATCAATTACACTTCTCTTATCCTTGCATTTTGTTCAATTTACCATTGCACTAGATTTACGAAAACACGATACTACTCCATAATAGTCGCGTTAATATGTTGTTCTGTAATCGGCGCATCTGACTAATGTATTTCTATCCTTGACAAAATAAACAGATCTTAGAACCTTATACACAAATCTGCATTTGGTTGCATCATATGGTTATTCATTCACTAGGCACAGTTGAGATGACTGATTGGATAATTGAAAAAGACAGTAGTTGCTAAAAAATATCTAACCCTAGCCAGATATTCTCAATTCCATGAACTGATTTTCTCCCTCTTAGTACTTTGAATCCAAGTAATACTTTCACATGATCAGTGGTTACATAACAGTTATCCATCAATATTTTTCGAGTTCAGAAATAGTTGTTCCTGGGACAGGGCAGCCTACTGTAATTTGTTTTTATACGAGTGTTTAATTAATTTATTAATTCAATAATAATCTTAATATCAAATTATACCATTTTATCATGAAATAGATCTACATCGGATTTTATCAATCGTATCAATATGAATCGATCTTTATTAGATTGGCGTTCTCTTATTCCAAGTTTATCCACAAATCCAACTCCACAATCAGGAAGACGTGCAACTACTTCAAATTGTTTTACAGGTTCAAATTTAACTAATCAACATGGAGGTTGTCATGTTCAACCACAAAATCAATATTATCCTTTACCACCACAATATCAACCACAAAGTGAACGTATTTCACGTGTTTCATGGTCTAAACCATCATGTATAGAAATGAAAAATACTGATTCAACTTATAATCAATCTTCTGATAATATCCCATTTACTAATACACATAAACTATCAGACTCTGGATATCTTGTAAATCCAATGAATAGTAGATTATTGGATATGAATGATCATTATTATGACAATTATTATAACAATAGTAATGGTAATTATCAATTAACTAGACAATTTCCACAAGTTAATAATGCTTTAAATGGTGTTTCGTCAAATCATTATGAATGTGAGTATCATCCTTCAGGTAAGACAATTAATATTACAAGATTACATTGTTGAATTTTGACTTTATTTAGTAATTAAAAGTTTATTATTTTCGTTGTTGGTAATAATTCATGAGAACTCTATGGAACAAACAATATTTAGTTCAAACGTGTGTAATATTATGGCGAAAGTATGTGACTGTGTGTATGTGTGTATGTATGTACTTGTTAATGTGATTGTCAACATGTATAACCATTCTATTGTGCATCAAGGTTCAAAGTAAAGTTGCCCATGAGTTGCACATATATCGAAAACAATCAATTCAAAAAATAATGTTCATTCAAGTATGAAGTGTTGTTGTTTTAACTTATTGATAATGTATTCTTCAAAATATTAGCTAATACAACTTATGATAGATGGTGTCAGTCTCAATACCCTTAACTGCTCATGAGTCTAACTAATTTACGATTAGTAGTGTGTTAATGGCAATATACCATATATTATATACTCGTATTCTGGTTTATTTTTTGAATTCCTTCGACAATATATTCCTGTTTTACAAAATTCCTCAAGATGTCGAACCCAGAATTGTAGTTCAATTCATCTATTAATTTGTTTATTATTGGTTTGAATTCAATTACTTTAGATTGTAAGTTTCATAACTGATAAAGGTTTACATGTAAGGAGAGCGATACAGGATTTTCGTTTCTTTCATGATACTAATCATCATTAATATGAAAGCTTTAATACTGCCCTGGGTATCCAAGCTAAAGCAGGTAATCACATGATGTCCGGTTTCGTTCTCTCATTTCTATGAAGATATTCGTCATTTCAAAACCATAAATAGGTTACTTACACACAGGTATATGAGATACTCTAGAACCTATATACTAAAAACCCTCTTTCAATTGACAGTGCTTCATAAAATCAGTATCGACATATCAAAAGATTACAATCAACGTTGTAGGATGATAGTTTCTTAAATTATTAGTTAAGAAGTCACAAATTATCTTTCGGTAAAGTCTCTAGAAACACAAAAAATGCCAGGAAATGTTTTATCCAACCAGCACCAAATAAAAGCTACTCAAAAACATCTAGAAAAACGAAGAATCACGTGACTGGACGATTGCCTCTTCCGTTGCTAAATTTGGTATGTTTTTAGATAGATCTAGAAGTCAAGGGTCATATGAGCTCTTAATCTTTTCTCTATGATCCGAGTTGAAGTGTGGAATTAGTCTGGGGTTGTAGGACATGGCTATGAAATCAGTAATAAGCCTTGCAGTAGCAAACGTATCACTACTCAATATAGATGACATAATATTGTTTATATATTTCGAAAAAGAAGAAGCTAAAATGTTGATATAGATGCTTGTCTTTTTTTCATCTAGCTAATCACGTGGATGATTCAAACTCGCTGAATGATATGTGGATCAATGTCGCTGGTCCATTACTGGTTGGCGATGTTAATCGGCGTATATCACCTGCCAATACACGTACAATACATTTGCAACAGTCTTTATACCAACAGTATATGTACAATAGTACATCACCATTATCGGTACCAGCTCCATCATTTTATATCAATCAAAATGAATCATCTCATGTTATCCCAACACTGAATAATACTTATCATGGATTAACAACACCAAAGCATGGTAAGTGTTCTTCAGGTAATTTGCTATTATCGTCTAGTTTAATTAAATTGAATGCTTCATTAAAGTCTACGACTTTTTATAATAAATTTCATTTACTAATCTCCTATTGTTCAACCGATCGTTCAAGTACTTCCATGTTAAAATATTGCAACTTTATTTCAGTTTTTATATCGACAATTGTTGGAATCTAACCGCAAATAATTTCCATTATGACCTTTCGAAATTATAGGAAGTAATGTTAATTGAAGCACAAGTTTTAGATAATTGCTTCACTTATTTAAGGTCTGTCTGCACAGCTAGCGGGATGCGAGTGCTACATCACAAAGTTGGTTCGGTTAACAATTTAGTACATAAATTACCAAGAAGTTGCTGAGATCCATGTAATAACGCTCAATCCTTAGTAGATCTTTCGAAGCGTCTAGGTCACCCGGTTGAGATACACGCGAAACCGAAGTTCCAAAACAACGATTTGTCTATAATAGTGGTTCTTTATTCAATAATACACAAAATTTAGTTACAAACCTCAACCTGTGAGGTGTCTGGGGCGTTTAAACGCGTCCTTCAAGTATGAAATAAAAAGGCTTCCTGTAACAGTAACATAAAGAATAATTACAACATACGATAATACAAAGGACAGCTAATAGCTGTGTCTATATTTGACAACAGTTTATATACAACCGAAACCAGAACCAAGAGCAAAACAATATGGAAACTGTTGCGTTTAAACAAATGCACGAAACTGTAGATAACCGCTGCAGTGATTAAGGTACAGTAATTAAAATGATAAATACGATGATACGTACAATAAACGTAATAAGTATATGTGAACATTTTAGAATATCACACTACAACTTGCGTTACAACGTAGGTGTTAAGTTGTTGGGAATACAACTGCTTACTGAATGTAAATAAGTAGTATAAAACAATATACAAAAGAGTGGAAAGGGAGCGAGTGGAACAATGTAAGGCAAACTTAACAATCCTTAGTTTTTCAACAAATACTGAGACGGCTCAGAATCAATCACAATGGCTCAGATTCATTCATTGTTTAGGATCAATCAGATCTAGCATTCCGATACCCCTCACAATATACATTAAAATTCGTACCCATTGCACAAGTGAATGGCTATCTGATATCAGTATCTAGGTGGATCGCGCATTAGCGTTTGAGATGAACGGTACTGGGTTCGAGTCCTGCTGAGAACACCAGTCATGGAACCTACGTATACTCGGCTGATATGTCTTAAATGAGACGAAATGTCCCTCCTGGATTCTGTTACTAGCCACGTTTTATTTATTCTATATAACCTTTTGTCATAATGACTATATTGAGGCAACTTGCACAGGGTACACTTATGCCGGTTAAGACGGATCGAAACTCACTCAAAATAACACTATTTACCTTTTTTCAGATAATTCAACCATTTCAATACCAGTTACAGTAGCAACAATAACAACTTCAAATATTGCTTCACAACAGCTGACTTCGAATCCAGATGATCATCAAACAACTTCAGTAGTTAGTGATTCTTGTTTATTTTCAAAAATCACAACACCAACTGTCCAATCACAATCCCCGCTTTTTAGCCATAGTGATAACAATAGTAATAAAGAATCATCACCATCTTTTTCTTCCACATCAACAACAATATTAGATGGTAGCCAACTTCCTAACGTTAATGGAAATAGTAATAATAATATTATTACTCATTTGAATGTATTCATCACAACTTGTTCCACATGTCCAAAGTGTAAACATTATGTTTATGATGAAGAGATAATGGCTGGTTGGTCTACAGATGAAAATGATTATAGAACATTTTGTCCATTTTGTAAAACTTACTTTATACCACAATTGTCAATACGTATATTTGGTGATACATGTGGAGGTGTTGGAGGTGGTGGTTATAATCAATCAGCAAAATTACAACAACGTCAACAGCCAAGAGAACAACACTTTCGTACAACTTTTTCTCAGTCGTCGAATAATCCGTCCAATCTCCAGTGTGATAGAAATGATTCAACTGAATCAATTCAATTTAAATCATGCACCTCAGCATCAGTGCAAAGTACTTCGTAAGTTATATATATCATCAATAATTGTTAGTCTATGCTATATTATTATATGGAGACTATATCATTAAGGTACGCGCTATGAATGGTTAGACGTTGAACGATTTTGTTCAGTTTCTTTGAATCATATGAGCCAACTTTTGTATCACCTATCTAACATTCGTTGAAATACAATAATTCATAAACGTCAATCAAAGTACTTACTAATCAATATTGATAATTAAACTAGATCTGTTAATGTGTTTTTTATATGTATATAGCTACTTGAATGTGTTTTTATGGTAGATAAATAGGCAGCTCATTGGTCAAAACACTCGACTTTCAACCACTAAGTTTTAGTCTCGAACCTCGTACCACTCCAGTTTGGTTTACTGGATAATATCACCAGCCTTTATATTTAATATTTAGAGGAAAGCCAAGCACGTGAAAGTGTTTCTCTACTAGCTGTAATTCATCAAAATGATCTTTAACACTATTAAAGATCGATCGGTACTCTTTTTTGTCACCTCCAATTTTCATTATTATTCAATAACAGACAAAGAAATATCTGCATTGAGTGTTACCATTGAAGTAACTGCTTCTATGAATTTGGTGACCATCTTGTTGTGCTGATGAGGTATATGGTATCTTGGACCGGTATATATATATATATATATATATATATATATATATATATATATATATATATATATGCCTGGTCCTACGTTGTAGCTGATTGAGTGCATTGAATGTATGTACTAAGTTGAAATGTAGTTCATTTTCTGTAAGGAAATTCACTGTGAATTATGAAAGTATTCATTAGCTTAAACTTTTCTTCTTCTGTTTAAATTTTTCTCTTTGTCTTATTTCTGTTTGATTGTTTGTTTGTTTGTTTTTTAATCCCTAAAACAAATTGGATAAATTCATTTATTCCCTGTTTCTATACAACTTATACATGGTTCTATCAACGTATACACACTGTTCACTATCGTTCAGTATGGGTCTAATGGAAATGACCGTAAGTTTTAATTGTAACATTAATTATTTTCATCATTACTATTGTTGTTATTTGTATTATGTATAGTTGTGATTGATTTTATTCTTGTAACTATTTTCTAAATAATGATTGTTATAAAATACAATACCTTTTTGAAGAAAGTTAAAGGTGACCAAATCAAAACATGACCTTTGTCTCCATAAAGATATTGATTATTGGATGGGATGATATAGGCAGATGCAGATTATAAGACTAGGGTACATCTGATTGTTATAAACAATGATTAGAGATTCATGTGTGTTGGTATGACTGCAAATTGTTATGCGTAACGCTGATGTATTCATTCTATGTCCTCACTCGGATCACAAGTTTTTAAATTGCCAGACCTTTTCCATTATCAATAATACTATTACTATCTTTACTACTCTGGGATTTATTTTGACAATTTCATTTCTTTGTGCTAATGGGGTATAGTAACTTCAACCTATATACAGATATGCCAGATTCTGCTTTACGTCTGACTGACAAATACACACTTTTCAAAACAAAACTTACAAATTTCAATGAACTAGTTACCATGATTTAACTATCACGTCGACTTAGAAGAATAAGATTTTTAAAAGCGAGACCCTGTTCAGTTAATCACAGAATAGTAATTATGCTAAGGCTAGAATTTTGGGTCAAGATGTAAACCTTAGGATTTGGATTAAAGTTAGAATTACGACTTGGAATTTGTCGTTATAATTTTACATTTTATTTTATTATCATTAGCTTTATTCAATATTATATTTTTGGTACAATATAGAATTCTCAGTGCAAAGTATTTCAACAAGTTTCCGTTTCTTTCTTCTTGGTCGGTCCTGGCGATAAATATTGAGTGATCGCCAGTTAGATGTTAGCAGTTCACTAAATGAACGTCTGAGTAATGTACATTTTTTTCGTTGTATATTGCCAGCAACCATACTGTCTCTTGTTGAGTTTTCTGTAACTTTGACAACGAAAGGTTGTACACTTTTCAGAAACGCAGCAGAATAGGTTATGCGATTAATAGACATAATGATATATTAAAACAAATAAAAATAGATAACTTGTTGAAATATCTAGATGGCAGGAACAGGTAGCCCAGATGCTCAAGCAGGCTGCCCTTATATACAATTGGAATCATTTTTTGTAGTTTGTTTATTATGTTTCCTTATCGTAAATCTTGAACTCTGTAACTTAACCCCCGAATTCAAACTTTATAACATACCTTTTGTTTTCTAGAAAAAAAAAACAATCAGATGATAAGTAACATCGGTATTTGTAGTTTTTTACAAAACATGGTAACCAGTAAGATTAGACGAGGATTGTGCAACATTGCATCGTTGCAAAGGTCACAATGATCAATATTTTTGGGAGAATACCAAGATACCCCCTTTTTCTTAAAGTTCACTAATTAATAATTAAGTTAACCCATATCATTCTGTAATTGCCGATTGTGTCATCCTCGATCCAGGCATCATCTTGGTAACAATTCTTTATTGGCTGGTGATTCCGATTATTATATATCAAAACTTATGAATTTGTTTTGAGTTGGCGATGATATTGAAGTTATTACATAGATTGACTTCGATTCTCACTTGTTGATAGATTTTCTCCTCATTTGGTTTTAATCCCAGTCTTTGCTGGTAGCGACGATGTTTAAGGACATTTTTATAGGCTGTCATTTAATATCTGAACAAAAACTGTTGTATAGTCCCTGTTGATTTCTATTGCCGTCACCATCCGAGTGTTTTATCCGTCGTTTATACTGTTACTTAGCTGAATCTATGTATTTATCGTTAAATTACAGTTTCAATTTAGTATATTCTCATATATTTCTGTTTGTTTTTCTTTTACTCAGTTTTCTTATTTAAGTCCATTTGTCATTAGAAAATCTTTAGAAACTATTATTCAAAATGAAGGTGATGAATGTTTACATTGTCAATCAATTCAATATTCTTTATTACATCGTCATACTCAATTAACATGGAATTTAGTATGGTTAATGTATCGTTTAGGTTTACCAACATATTTATTAGATTCATTACCATTATGGATAATGAATTATCAAATTGAACAACGTATTAAATTTAAAACAAATCCATCACATAATCATCGTCATCATCATCATTGTTCACAACAGTGTAATTGTAATAATAAGCAAATACATAATAACCATTCAATTATATTTACTGATGCACTTTATGTAAGTTATGCTTTTGTTATTATATAAATTTTGTTTATGTTATATCTTGTGATTGCAGATTAGACGACAGTGTATTATCGATCGGACCAGACGCGTAAAACACATAAGAACAGCCTAGAGTTCTGATTGGTCTCGCTTCCTGTCTAGCCCCGCTAGTTGAGTCCAGAACGCAAGTCTCAGCCTCTGAGATATGAATCATCATATTTCAAGCATACTGAGTTTATATTACCAAACGAACCGACCACAAAGTACTCATAAAATATGAAACAACATTTGTACAGGAATTATCCAGACGTGGCTGTGAATGAGGGAGGTAGCGATTAACAGACACGGAATAATTCATGAATGGTAAATCGTATAGTAATAGTCTATGGGTCAAATCAAAACTTATAATAAGAAGGATATGAATACGAACAGTTTAGTTACATAACAATTATACGATAAAAATATACTCATAATGTTGGTCCATAAATGGATCCCAAAAATTACCATTCATTATCCTTGTTTATTTTCGAAATAAATTTTTTAGGTTTTGTGAAATAATTGTTGTTAAAAAGGCTTGAGGAAGAGACGAGTATTGTGAGCTTTCTTTAAACCAATCAACTACTTTATTCTCGTATTGGTTGCTTGAATCCTCCCCCCACTGATGTTTTCAGGACCGTATTTGATAAGTCTCTTATCGACATATGTGCATCCTATGCGGATCCCCTCGATATTGCCCTAAACCTCCAAGCATTATGAGCAGAGATGTTTGTTGGCTAGCAGTGAAATCCAGTACGCGTTTTTTATCCTATTTGGGACTCGTCGGTTGTTATTATCTTTATAATGATCGCTAATGAATAATGTATCGTTTGTTCCGTCCTCTGATACTTATCGTATGATTGTGTTTTGAAATATAATGTCTTATTTGAAGTTCGTTACATTCTGATGGTCAAATTCATGTAAACTTAAAGTGTTTGAGATGTATATACTATTATACCATGGTTTGCCATGTTCTACTATCGTATTGAAGATTGGACCAGAAGAAAGGCATACATTCTTGACCAATAGGGACTAGGATTATTTTTGACCTCAACTACAAGGTTAACGTCGCCTGTCGAAGCTTAGAATACTAGCGATTGCTGAAAAGAGTATACGTGAGTTGGGTAGAGAAATATGACGTGGGTTGGCTAATCGTTTCTCATAATATCGATCACTAAATTTTTACTCACTACACTTTTTCTTAACATCCGCTGAATGTAATATTTCCAAAACGTCGGTTGACTAATGTGTTTTCCTTGTTTAAACTAGACACATATTCATTAATTCAACTTCACAGAAGTGGTTTGACTTTTTGTGGATTAGAGAAGTTTATTTTCACACATGATCATATCTGATTAGTTAAACAGAATAATCTTCAATATTCATCATGAAGATAGATTGGGAGATTATAATTGAGAAGCGAAGGCCCAGCATAATAAGATAAAATTTTGAAATCAAGATGAACTGCAGTCTGAAGGATCCTAGCAATAGCAACAAATCAGTTGGTGATAAAAGGTCTATAAACAAGATAAGAAGGAAGTAAATATCTGTGAAAGAAAAAAAGTATGAGGAAGAAAGAAAAATTGCGAGATTAAGACCATTGTAGAAGAAGAGGTTGTACCGCTTTCTTCTGGACACATTCCGGTTTTTCCAGATGTATAGCTAATGATTCGGCAATGCTAAGTAGATGTAAAATTTAATTTCCTTTGGGAGCTTTTTACTTAACTTGTAGGTGACTTTAAATGCAGAGTTCTCTTTGATTAAGTAACCTTTGTTTACAAGGTGTTCGATTATTGGACTTCTTTTTTTCAGGAAAGCCGGATAATGTATTGTACTTGTCATGTTCTTAAATTGTCAGTTTCCATAAATGACATTGAAAGTATAATTATTTGTTTTTTCTATCTTTCATTGTTTTAAAAATAATAGCAAGTTCATTTATCCCCCAATTTACCTGTATATATATCATTACGTTGGAATGCAACACATCCTGTACGAAGCGTTATGAGAAATTCATTGTATAAATATTGGTCCAATTTTAGAAATTCAGGTAAGCATTAGTCTTTTATGCAGTGCTTCTTGATTTGCATTGGTTGTGTAATTAAGGTAAGTCTCTGATGTAAAAACTATAAAAACTTGGCAGTCTCCACAAATCTCTTCTAGTAATAGTAGTCATGCGTTCACTAGTGATTAACTTTGATGGGTAATTCCAGAATCTCTGGTTGTAAGCCGTAACTAGTGCAGTTCGGTCATGCTCCTTGCGAGACAATTATTTGTCGTTCTATATGTTTAAGTGATTGATGAATTTGTTATTTATTTATTTTAACACATAGATATTGACACAAGTAAGCGCCAAATAGATATGCGCCACAATTCGCCATTCGATTTGTGTGGCAGCTCGGATATTGCCCGGGTCCCCAAACCGAAGCAGGTGATTTTATTAGAAGGCCACACCCGGAGCCTTCGACCTACGGGTCTGATCCACAAGGTAGTGGAGCATCGTGAGGAGATGCAGTCTCATGGTAGTCAGTGACCAACGATTATTTCATACACCGTTTGTTCCTTCAGGATACTGGAGCCCATTTGCACGGTTGGTTTGGAATCAGGATTTTCCAACTCCCCTAAGTAAATCCTCCATGTCCACCAGGCCGTTCGAAGCTACGGACATTCTCTTTCCGTCCTCTCAATATCTTAAACAACACCCTCATTGAGCGAAATCAGTGAGTAAGACTTCCCTTGTAGAGGCTGTATACGCGTGGCCATGAGAGAGCATTTGGAGAGGGGTAGCTGACTCTCTCCACTTTGAGCCGTACCAGGGCATTTGGGGGAGATTGATGTTAGACATGAAGACTATCTCATTCTAACTCAGCAGTGTGAAGGTTGAGCGCTCTTAATAAAACATAGAGGTTCTGGATTCTTTCCTCGGTGGTATAGTGAGCAATGTTGCACTCTTGAGGTATCTAATGCCGGGTCGAAACCGCTGCCTAGTACATCCTCATTTTCAATGGTTCCCTAACTAAAATCAGGCCTTGATGTAAAGTGTAAAAATTTGACCATCTCTACAAAACTATTGGTAATATAAGCACCTTTATGGCTTGAAACAGATAGTTAACTACAATTCATGATATAGAATTAAAAGAAATATGACAAGACAGCATATTAAACTTGGATCTGTTATACATTTTCCCAACTGTGCCCCCAACCTTAATTTGGTGATTATTGTTCATGCCTGTCATTATGATAGAATTTGACTTATTTCGGCTTAAACGCTTCATTAATGTTCTACCGTCACAAGCAAATAATATGGCTTGGTCCGAAGGGGAATTCATATTACGAACTTTTTTGATGTTTGTGTTGGTTAACCCACATTTTTAAAGATAATTTCCTTCCACCGACAGGAGGTCGATCTTAAAATGTCAGCCTGCAAAGTCCCCATGGATTCGCGGTGCCAACTGAAAGGTTTAAAAAGTAGGCAGTCCACTAAAAACCATTCTCGAATAGGTATAATTGAACTCGGTTCTTGGACTTTGCAGTCACGTTATTTGGTTGACACAGTTGACAGTTATCCACCTCAGACAATTGATGAAGGGTTGCGCAAGATCATGGATCGATTGAAGTTAGATATTAACACCGTTAGATGCTGGATCAGTGGTCTAGAGTTTAAGAGTTTCCACGTGTAGACCGAAGGTCCTGGTTTCGAATCCCACGTGAGGGATCGTGGGCGCACACTACTGAGGAGTCCCATACTAAGACAAACGGCCGTGCAGTGCTTTCAGGTTTTAAGTAGTGGTCTAGCCTAGATTAACTCATGATTCAGTTGTTGAAATGAGTACAGTTGTCACTACTGTAGTGAACAGAACACGGGTGGGGACAATCGAATGTTTTTGACACAAAATTACAGAGCATCTCAATAAAATCTGAGAACCATATATCAAATCGCTAATTTGCAAAATGTCCACCAATTGTCTCAAAATGCCTCAGACTTCATTGTCCTTGCATTTCCATACAAATTGAATCCTATTCTCACTCTTGCTTTCTTGATCTTCCTTCATCTGCTGCCAGACATTACATTCCTGACTCGCATAATATACTACTTATATCAATATAAGTAGCACGCACCACACTACTAGTCCATTTTTGTTTCCGGATCTCTCATAGGGCGGGCTCTAAAAAGTACCCCTCCTCCTCGTAGTCTTGTCTACAAGTATAGTGAACTTCTTTCATTGATTTTCTAGCCTTATTAGTTTTAGGTCAATGTAAGAATAGTCAATAGATTCATTTGCATAGGTAGACCATGTATGTTAGTAGAATCAATAAATTTGACAATCAACTATAGTTTTTATTAACAAAAAAATCTTCAGGCATTCTAGTTTATATAGTGGGATCTGACCGAAGGTAATTAGAATATTTAATGTCAAATGCCTGAGTATGAATGTACATAAATATCTGTTAAAGACATAAACAAGTTTGAGAATTCACTTGAATGATACATATTTACCAGAACATAGATGAAAATCACCAAGTACTCATTAAGGATTAAGTGCCTCATAGATATTTCATATTATTCAAGTTTTGTTTTACAGTAGTAATATTCACTAAATAATGTCTGTTGAAAGTTCTAGTTAACATTTGAACTGACTACTTGTTACCAGATTAATTCAGTATCAGTATGTTTTTTTTATTACTAAAATTGATTACTTTTAAACTTTTTCATTCTCTATTTGAAATAAAATGGAACTCAACTCAACATAACCTTGTAGGGGAGGAGAAAGGGTAGTCAAACTAGGACGAAACATGAGTTTATAAAGCCATTGAGTGTTCATCTGAGATGTGTCGGATAGAAGTAGACTATTTAAACTTGTGTCAATATAATGTCAGTTATTTATTTACTCTGAAGAAGTAGCTTACATTAAATTACGAAACATCAGAAATACAATTTGTTTACTCATTGGGATATAACAAAAATATTATTATTATTTTTTGTTCCGATGTATAGCATTGATTTGATTATATCTCTGAAAGTTATATTCAATATTTTATTTATCATTTCATCTCCTGCATACATATATATGTATATTATAGATCAAAATTCACCTTGGTCTTTGGTTAGAGTGACTAGTTCACAAGATACTTTGAATCAACAAACTATAAATAGTAATGGGAATAGTTGTTGTTCAATTCATGCAACTATTGATCAATTGATTAATGCTATTAAAAATGATAATATGCGATTTGCTGTAGAATATCTCATACAAATACGTGCACATCTACAATTTAATTCTTCATTACCATTAACTATTACACAATCACGTACAACATTTTCACCGCCACCATCATCAACATCATCACCATTAACAACAATCGGAGCAACAACTTCACCATCATCAATACAAACACAAACATCAGAATTATCATCTGAAATAAATAAAAACCAATTGAATTCAAACAATACAAATCATGTTCAATTACAATCTACAGTAGAGATAGGAGATTTTAAGATGAGACGAAATAAATTAAATCAGCAAAATCGATGTGGTAATATTGAATGTTATGCAGCATGTTTGGAAAATTCACTTTATCGTGAATTATTATTTTTAATTGTACAAGCATTATCTCGAACATCGTTGGATCTAAGTAGGTTTTTTTTGTCACCCTCTTCAGATGTTTGTTAGTTGTGTTTATTTATATATGTGTGTAAGTGTCTTGCTTCTCTATTATTACTTGTCATTTTATAAAGCATTGTATGTACGTATCGTTTTCTCACTTGCTTATACATGTTACCCCTCGTAGATGAACATAGGCCGCCCACCAGCATTCTCCATCCATCTCTATCCGGGAAAATAATTTCCGGTTGTTTCCAGTCGCTATTGATCCTTTTCATGTCTGCTTCAAATTCTCGTTGTAGTGTGTTATTTGACCTTTCTCTTTTTCGTATACATTCGGAATTCCAAGTTAGCATTTGGCTCGTGATGCAGTTTGATGATTTCCATAATCTATGCCTTATCTACTTCCAGCATCTGTTCTTAATTCCCTCTTCATCTGAAATCTGGTTTGTTCTCTCCCATAGTAGGCTGTTGCTGATGATATTCAATCAACAGACATTGAGTATCTTATGTAGACAATTGTTTATAAATACTTGTACTTTTTTGTATCGTCTTTTCAGTTGATAACTAATTGACGTTATACATTTGACCATTCTGTTGTCATTCCAATCTGAAATAGTGGAGCTCTAACTAAGCTGTAAATGTATTCAGCTTTTAACCACTAGGTTTCAGGTTCGCGTCCTATTCCCCCTTAATTTAATTCGAGCAACCAGATAATATCATTAGTCCTTACATTTTGAGTGTGGTTCAAAGCTAAGTACACGAATCTCTACTTGGTGATTTGTATTGCTCTGAATAAATTTTGTTATTACAGTAATGTTCCACAGTTTCTTGTTCATGAATGACGCATGGTGTATGTTTGTTTACTTTTATTCACCTTATTTATTGTATCACTTGTTAATTAATTAGACTATTCACCTCACCTTCAACTGAATAAATATGTCGATATCAAATTCAAATTGTTGTTTCTACAGAGAATATTTGAAATCAAATAAGAAATAATTAATGAAGAACAGAATTGAAAATCACATACCCAACTGTTGTGTCGGATGCAAATAAATTGTGATTAGCTAATTAGAGACTCTTCTTTATGTATAGTGGATCTCAATTTTCTCACATCTATGGTTGACTATTTTGATCCGTATGATGATCTTATCTGTTGAGTCTAGTGAGGCCAAGTAATTTGATTTATTGAATCTATTGATCTAGTTCCCTCAACCTAGTATCAAGTGATCTGATGTAGAATGCACAAAATCCTTTGGTTTCCTTTATAGCGCTTACCAATGACCTTTTATACGACAGCTGTCTCTCTCTCTGTCTCTATCTTTTTTACTATTTCTATAAGTTCCATTGTATCATAATTGTTATCCACTACAATTCAGCCACTAGACAGAGGTTGTACTGCTGCTTATGCTTGCAGATATAATTAGTATATAGCCGCAATCGGCAGTGGAATGTCAGGCAACAGAAGATTGAATATTAAAAAGCATAAAGGTAATTGGAGAGCAATCAATATAACAACAGAATTAGAGGAATAATGTAATAGGTAAAGGATAACTGTTGGGATATGTGCAAGTAATGTATTTAATGTATGATTTTCATATTTTGCTAAGCAACTGTGTAATTTTGAACCCAACAATAAATTGGTTTTTCCCATCAAGTTTTCGTTCACTATAGTATTTCTTCATTGCTTGAAATTAATCTCATACCATCGGCCAGTCGAACCCAATCTTTTTGTAAGTGGTTGTTTATTAGTTAACTTCATACTGTTGAGGCCCTGTCACTGTCAATGGAAATTCATGGGAAAAGCTTGGATCGTCGTTTTCTAGCTCCTTCCGTTTCGGCAAGGTAGCATCTCCGAAAACTCCGGTTGGCTGAGGGGAATATTTTATCGCCGTCATACATATGTACAGTGAGCAGTGACTTCACCCTCGAACTTCTAGTCTCTGCTTTTAGTCATACGGTTCTTCAACCGCACTTTATGACGTCGTAGCACAAAAAACAACAGGTATCCCCGTCAGTCTAACTTGACGAGATCATCATGATATGCTAACCCGACCGCCGAATCAAGATAGCAGCTGTGATCGGACTGTTTGAGATACTTATTATATTAGTTTACAATGTGTAGTTCTCTTTGCTTCATTACATTATCATTTACACTGTGTATTTATTTAAATATTTTCCTAATTACATTTTTGTGTCACCCTCTAATCTCTTTTAATCTAGTGTCATTCGACGAAAAATATGATATAGTTTATCGATCATTCAGAAACTCTGGTTGTACATTTCTAACTGATTTTGACCAATCACCAACCTTGATAGCTTCAATTTGTCGTCAAATGCTACGCCCGTTAACATTGAGACCATAAACTATCATTAATCAGCTGTGTATCGTTTTAGGCCAAAATTACTATATTGAAACCTTTCCAGATTTTTTTTCGTTACTCTTCCCTCTCTTTGTCCACATGATCAATATGAATGACTGGAAGACTCCATGATATAATGAACCATTCTATCTCATTATGCATCAGTCAATCAGTGAATTATTCATATGTTTTCTACTTACATTGTCATATTTATATATGTATTTTGTTCATTTGTCAATCATGTATTGTCGGTGTGTGTGTGTGTGTGTGCGCGGATGAATGAATAGATGGATGATGAACGTGTGTACGTACACCTCAGTTATTGGCTGTGAAAAGGAAATATAATCATGTTACTAAATTGATTTACATTCATCTAATTTCATTATTCTTACTTGTTGATTCTTTTTTTTTCTTTCTTATTTATTTTTGTGCAACTCATTCTTAATTTTGTTGTTAAGATGAGAACTTATTTTGTGGTTATATATCATCACTATTCCTGTTAAATATTACTTGTATTACAAATGAACATTGTTCGTTATTATTATTATTATTGACCACTTAGCTAAAACTAGCTTATTGTGCAATGATGATCATTATGATACTTTGTAAACAAATTTCTTAATCCTTTCTCTCTATTCATTGTCATTATTCATTCAGTTGTCTTATTCATTCACTACTGTCATTATCATTACTAATTATAATTACGTTCATATATCTATCTAATTCCTATAGTACTATTCAATACAACGTCTAAATAGAGAATATATATACACACTGTATTGGTAGATTTATACCACTATACATATTACTAATAGTTACTTCATTGCCTATATAACTAACTGGGGATAATAATAATAATCTGCCCGTCGTCGTCGTCACCTCTGACCCCCCCCTCTCTTGTCACTCTTGTTTAATATATCATAACTATTCTTATACAATTTCGAATGTATGATCGAATAGAAATATCGAAAATATTAAGAGTTAAATAAAAATGCATGAAATTATGTCATCATTCATTGTTGACTTCCAAATATCCGTTTGTTTGTTTGTTTACAATTCTCTTGTGCTCATTTACTCTTACATAATTTTGAATGTATACACACAATTTTCTTGTTGTTTAATCCTTTTTTTCTTTTATGAATTTTCACTTTTCTTTTCCTCTTTCTCAATGGAACAACATTCCATTCGATATTCTTTGTGTATAACACTTTCAAGTTTCATTTATCTTTATATTTCTATTCATGTATTACTCATTCGTTTTAAGTAGTAGTAACCCCCTACTGACGTATCGTCATGCTATTCCCCCTAGTATATTCATATATATATATATTATGCTGTCTTATCGCATCTTTCAATAAGAACGTTTCTTGTTAGTTGTTGTTGTTCTTTTTTATTGAGAAAGATTAATTTATTACTACAGGCATTTATCAAGTTGTGTTGATTTCATTATAAAAAAAGAAAGAATAAAACTTTTTATAACTACAATAGCTTCTTTTTTACTTTCTTTCATTGTTATTGTTTTAATTGATGATGTGATTTTCTTTTCTTTGTTTCATTGTTTATAATAATCTAAATTGATTATATAAAATGGGTAGATGAATGTTAGTAGGAAGGTGTAAACCTATCAATTTTCAATTAGAGAAGTACACATAGAAGATATTTCTAACCTAGATCGGATGATGATGATGATGATAGCAACCGATGGTTAGAGACCTTGAATAACATGGCTCAAAATCGTTTGCAATGGCGCAGGTGCATCCATTGTTTGTGTTCTCCCAAGTTCTAATCTCCTGATTCCTCCTTGTCTCTTTTTTTTCTCTTCCCAAATTTATTTCACTAGATTATACTCCTTGAATAACATCTTCAAACTTTAATCTTTCCGATTACTGCTTATACTCTTACTACCTCTACCACTATGGGATTTGAATCGACAACTGCATCTCTGTTCTAATGTGATATGGCAACTCGAACTGATGTACGTACGTATGTTAGGTTTGAAAGCTTCACAAGTTCACTTAAATCTACGAACGAGAACAAGACTAAGTGACCAAAGACCAGTAATCTAGCTATTGATGCGTTCTGGCCCCTCTATCTAGAAGGAGAAGTCCAAGTTTGGTATGGAAAATATATTCTGCAAACAGCCCAGAAACGAGCCCACAAACACAATTTAAAACGTATATATACAAATATATTTTAATCAATATTGTCATAGTAAAATGTTTTTAAACATTACTCATTAAGTTCATCAATCGACAGCCATTTAATCGATCAGTTCGTCAATTGACTGCTATTTGATCGATATGATAAAATTACAAATATGAATTTAGGGGATATACCGTCCCCAACAACGTACGAACTTCTACGTTGTTGCTGACTGACTGAGATCGGAAGATGTGTGGAGTGAGATGTTGATTAGATGCATTTTGGAATAATCGGCTTCATATCATTGTGTGCTTTGTTTTTACCTAATAAAATGCATTGATATGGTATTTGATCATAAGTACATGATATGTGTAATAAATTCAACTAGCCTATCAATGATTCACAGACTTTTGTTGTTTACTGAAAATTTACAAAACAGAATACTATCTGTGATAAATCTTGTACTAGAACGAAATACCCGTCTAGTGTTCCCAGATTATTTAGTGGTTGTTTAACTTAGTTTCATGAAAATTCGACAATCTCCACGACCTCGTACTAAAAATCTAAAAAAGACTAAATTTCTGTTGAACGATAGTCTAACCTGTTTCTAGAATTAAACTCAGATTTATTTCAGATCTTGTTTCCGTTTAGCAATTATATTGTATGTTCATTGTAAACTGTCGTTTGAATCATTTATTAATTTTCTATCTTTTAAGTATAAAAAAGACTGTTTCTGAATATCCAACATGTTGCTAAGGTATTGAAATATGACTAAAATCGACTTAAACCGGAATTCAGACTCACCTTGGTATATTTAATTTTCTTCAAAAATCTCTTGTTGAAATTATAGTAGTTTGAAACTAATTAAAGAGCTTACATCTACAAAACATACTAGGATGGTATGTACGTGGAGGCCTGTGTCTTAAAATAGTCTTGTATGCTTCGAGAATCTGATGTTTCCTGTTTTTTTTTTTCCAAGTCAGAGATATAGTTATCTATCAAGATTCATTAAAATGTCCCTTAACTAAACACTGTATAAAACCTGGTGACATTACGAACCTTCGTTCTAGGAAGTTAGCTGATGTTCTATGTTATCTGTAAACAAACCGCCTAAATCAATCATTTTTAATTAATTTTATGCTAAAAGTGTTCAAGAAAATTAGGGTAATCCCGATACTGTGTCGAGTAATAAAACTATTAATTTCAGGCTCATACCAATGAGTTCTCATTTTCTCTAAACTATAGAAAATCTCCCAATACTGACACTTCCACTTAGATTGAAGAACCGATTTAAACGTCCCATCAAATTTAAGTGGTCTCCATTAAATTCAAAAGCTCAAGTTCCATCAAGCCAAATATAGCTCTTAATTTCATAATGCATATGCCAATCATCCCAGAATTATTACCCAACTTCAACACCAATAATTAGTTTAATCAGGTATATAGTGAAGAGGAACAAAAGATAGAAACAATTAATGAGGCTTCCTCTGACTAAGGAACGAATTATGATCTGACACAAGATCAAAGGGATTTCAGATTAGAAGACTGAATAGCTTGTTAACGGTTAGATGTGTTGGTCTGAATTCCATGCGATTTCATACGAACAAGCCTCATGATTTCACATATTCTTAGCATTTAACGTAAGACTTACAAACACTGGAATTATTCACATAAAAACGATATGATCTTGTACTATTTTATCAATTCAGTTGTCAGTGAAACTCAGTAAATATATCTGCTGATGCCAATTAGTTATAACGCAAATGGAAGAATAACCTTCGAATAATGCAGTCTAACTGTGGTGACGGACCACCGGTGAACTCGAGGAAGCTGTAAGAGGCTCAGAAGGAGCCGAAGACGTCTCATCCAATAACCTCTCGGAAGAATATTCTAGAATTCCAACGTGTAGCTTCCCGATTGGATAATGCTAATAACCCCCTGTGTGCGGATTGGAAGACTGTAATGATGATTTCGTTCTCACTAAAAGCTATAAATACCTGACAATTTTGTACTATGATTGACACTGTTTGGAATAATATTCCTTTCGTTAGTCTTCTGTCTTCTTACTGCGACTTGGAAGGGTTTGGTGTTCTAGTTCCCTGTTATACGCGGTAGTATCAAGAAAAATCAACTTTTGAAGATATAACACTAACCTTGATATTGTAAAACCTATACAATTAACTGGGTTTTTTTCAACACTCTGATGAACAAACTTGGTAATTATACTGAAATTCTTTACAGAGAATGAAGAAAAAAGTTCCTCACTTTTCAATGGATTATTTTATTGTATTTGACCATCTAGCTTCATTTCATGATGAAATATGAAAAAATTATCAGGATAATTCACTTGATATTTGTCGGGTGTGAAACAGTTATCCATCTTAGACAATGGATGAAGGGTTGTTCAAGATCATGGATCGACTGAAGTTATGCATTAACACCGTTGGATACTGGCTCAGTAGTCTAAAGGTTAAGCGTTCGTGCGCGAGACCGAAGGTCTTGAGTCCCGCATGCGAAGACGTGGGTCTGCACTACTAAGAAGTCTCATGCTAGAACGGGACGGCCATTCAGTACTTCCAGGTTTTCAATAGTTCTCTAGCTTAGATCGGATCGTGAATTCGACAATGAAAATACCACAAATCTCCAGACTGAAAAAAACTTTAGCTTGAAATAAACTTCAGTCGTGAAAACGATCGCACGTTTGTGCCGACGATTGCATCACAGACTATTAGTACCTTAGCGAGGTCTGTGGAACTTATTGAAATTTATATTTTACATCATGAAGTGCAAACATGGGGTAGTTACTCACCAGTGATATTGTAAAATATTTGCTCGATGTAGCAAACTGATTGAAATTTTACAGCTCTGTGATCCAAATGTGAAGCACTTGCTTCAAAACCTGGTGAAAGTCCTCAACTATACACCCTGTGGTAGACATATCAATGTGCACACTGCCCATGAGTCCCTCACTAGGATGAAACAGCTGTCTAGTGCATCCTGATTTTCAGCAGGTGTCTAATTAACGTCGGTTCGCAATATAATTTATAAAGTTTTTTACTACCTATTGCGTAAAGTAGGCCAGTTATAACTTCATGGAAAAAGGTGTTACTTACAAACCACCTTTAACTGTGGTTCAAATTAATATCTTTGTATTTCGTCTTTCTAATATTCCTTATGAAGAGGTGAGTCAATTGTAAAAGCGTTCGATATTTAGTCACTAAGTATCATGTTCAAATGTCACCTACTATAGTTGGATGAACCAGATTTTATCACTAACCTGAAGGAGAAGCATATGTATCTATATCTGATAAATGAGTGAATAGTAATAATCACTACGGGCATTTTCTCGTGTAGTCTAATTTCTATAATCCAGAAATGTATGATTTTTAGCATAATTATCAATATATTTTGTGTATATTTATGTTGTTTTGTAATTCTTCTTTACCATGTTCAGAATTAAATTTATTCATAGAAAGGAATTTAGTGGTTTAATTCATGAGTCAGTTGAAGTTGGACTACCATGGAAAACCTCAGACCACTAGACGGTCATTTCTTACTAGTATCAGACTCGTCAACAGTGCGCATCCACGATCTAGCTCGCGAGATTCGAACCCAGAACTTCCAGTCTCGCGCTCGAGCGTTTAACCTCTAGACCACTGAGCCGGCATCTAACGGTGTTAATATCTAACAAGGAAATTTAACATGAACTACTATGATTTTCTCTAAATTAACACAATGTAAATGGCTTTCAAAAAAAATTATATTATCACAATCTTAATCATCAATCACATTCCCAGATGAAGAAACAAACTTTTTTTAAAAACAAAAAAGGAAATATATTTTTCATTCAGTATGGAAAAGTGAACAAGATTGATTTTACAGTTTACAAATTAATTTAAACTACTCATTATTGTAGGGTAGTAGTATATTCATGTGTGAAGAATTATTATTATTACTATGTTTACTATTGAGAATTCAATTCTTCCAAAACCGTCGATTTTCCATAGGTTTGTTTATTCTGTTTTAATTTAAACAAAATTATAGAAAAAGGACTTATTGTTGAACATAAATTAGTATACTAAATGATATGAGATTTCATTTATATGAATGTGGAAAATTTGAAATCAATGTATTAGCTTCATTTAGTATTATTGTTTTACTTGCATCTTCCCATTGATGTTTAAGACTGCAGTTGATCAGTCTCTTAGTATAGGGGTTGTGGAGATTATTAAGTTTTTGGCTGAGATCATCAACCGATTGGTGCTAGATCACCTTTGGAAACCTGGAATCACTGGACGACCATTTCGTTCTATTGTGGGACTCCTGAACAGTGCGCAATTTCGTGGATGGGTTGATGTTAGATACTATCACCACTGGATGCCGGCTCAGTGGTTAAGTAGGGTTCGAGTTCTGGAATGAACATCAACTCTATGATGCAGGTACATCCAGCTAACAAGTCTCAAATAGGTTGAAACACGCCTCCTAGATTAAACTGCTAGCCACCATCCTTCTGCTAAGGAATACAACCAATCATATGTCCGACTACAAAGGATTCCATTCAGACTACTCAAACGTAAGGTATAAAAATGTGATACAGTTGACGTGTCATCATACTTTACGAAGGTACTTGAGATAACCGCTTTGTTTTGAATATAATGTAGCTGAATTGATAGGGGTCAAAAGTTTATTGTAATTTACAGTTTAACTGAGAGTAAATATGTGGTATTTTAATGTGCATCGATGGGAATGAGATGCAGATACAAGATTTTAAATATGGTTTTATTCACTGAGCTGGAGCATTTAGTCATGGTGGCTTTCATGACCGTTCTTGATAGCATCATAAGCAAAAAATTTATAAGAAGTAAGTTATTAGAACTTCTCCACAAACGACTAACTACTTTTTCTGTTGACCTAGAATTCGGTTAGTTGTTGTCCATAGATGTGTGTAGGTCTGTGGTGAAATAAATCAAAGCACACATACGAACAACCGCTACAGATCTAAGAACAACAATCAACCTAATTCTAGGACAATAGATCAAGTAGTTAGTCGGTTGTGAAGGTGTTCTAATAATCCGCTTCTTATTGAATTTTTCGCTGATAATGTCGTCACGAAAGACTGCAAAATACATCATGACTAAATTACCCAGCTCAGACAAAAATACACCCTTGAAACCCTAATCCTATGCTACAATTAGTCTCCATCATATCAAAATCATACAAGCGTTACATGTTTCTCACTGTTGGGATACAAAGTTTTGAGTCCAAACTTTTTTCACCTTTAAGACTGACAATTTGATTAGCGGATATCAGACACTGCGATACCCAATTTCTGAATATTCACTAAGGTAATGCGGAGTAGATCTCAGATATGTTGAACCAATTGACAAGAAACTTTATATGACAGTGGATTCATACATTTAGTGCTCATCGGCAAAGTGTATCTTTAAATTAAAGGAGAGATATCTGTTATCGAATTAAATAGCTTAGGATTAAATAGTTTTGACTAGACCTAAAAATAATTCGATTTGCAATTTTCTAGTTGATAATTACAAAAAAGAGTAAAATCAATATCAAGCCTCCAAATGTCCTGGTACGGCAGAGAGTGGGGAGAGTCAGCTACCCCTCTCCAAGTGCTCTCACATGGCCACGCGTATACAGCCTCTGCCAGGGAAGTCCTACTCAATGATTTCTTTTGATGAGGGTGTTGTTTAAGAAATTGAGAGGACGAAAAGAAAATGTCCGTAGCTTCGGACGGCCTGGCGGACATGGAGGATTTACTTAGGGGAGTTGGAAAATCCTGATTCCAAACCGACCGTGCACATAGGCTCCAGTATCCTGAAGGAACAAACGATGTATGAACTAATCGTTGGTCACTGACTACCATGAGACTGCATCTGCTGACGTTACTCCACTGCCTTGTGGATCAGACCTGTATGTCGAAGGCTCCGGGTGTGGCCTACTTGTGCCAATATCTATGTGTTAAAATAAATAAATAACTAGAAAAAAAACATACATCTGAAAAATTGACCATGTGGATTTCATGATCCAGTTGTTTATTTGATCCATTCAATTTTGAGTTGTTCAAATGTAGTTTATGATTTGACGGTTCATTATTCTCAATTTTATTAAATTTTGAACTATTTTTAGAGTTAGAATTAGGATTAAAATATTTTTTAATCATACTATATTGTAGGGGTTGTATTTTTTCTGTATTAAGATAATATGCTCCAGAAGGATATGTAGATGTGGGTTTCCAAGGTAATGTGATTGAATTATGATGACTTGTGAACATTGAAATATTAGGACATGTTGATTTCTGTATTGTTTCATGCTTAAACAGATTATGAACATTACCATTCATACCATTACTGTAAATATCATCAATTTGCGGTGATGGTGGTGATGAAGATGATAATGAGTACTTCTTTCTTGTTGACCCAGCACTATTACTGAACCTTTTATAAACAAAACAAAAAAGAAAAACACATTAGATAAAAAATTCCCAGTACTGCCAATTTGTATCTCCTTATTTCCGTTGCTATTTGACTGGTCTTCCCGGTCTACCACATTGTCCGGAGTTTCCATGTAACCATAAAAATTGTTGCGCTAGTTGTTAGAAGGGGCATCAACCTCGTGGCTTCCGAAGGAACTCGGCTTTGATCATGAGGCGTAATAACTCTTCTAAATGAAGACTATCTAACGCTCAGGTCAAAGTTTAAATGATTTGAATTATTTTTTTCTGGTTAGTGTTTTTTAGCGAGTTACTTTTATACGGTACGGCGTCGTTAACCCTATGCCCAACCTTCCTCCTTTACCCTGGCTTGAGATCGGCAGTAACTCTAGAAGAGCTACATGCGAAGTTTTATATAGGAAATAGTTTAACGTAAATTTTTTTACAGTATTTATCAAATTAAGCTTAATAACAAAAAGCAATTTCAAGTGATGTTCCTCATGTCTTCATAATATCCGTATGTTAAATTGATTTAATCATTTCCAGCCAGAGAATCGAATTATTTCACTCATTTCTGAAAACTCCCTGAAATAAGCAGATCACATATTTCTGTTTGATGAGGACGCTGATGTTGTTCAGGGTTTCCAGAACAACTTGACTAACAGTGCAAGTACGTTTCGAGAGTTTCTTTTTACGTTGATTCAAATCATAGAGAGTGAAGTAGTTGAGTACATAGAGGGCATTCCGAGAAAAGTCCGAAATATAGATCTTCTTTATAAAATATTTCAATCAGATCAGGAAAGATTAATTTAAGCAATAACCATGAGTGTATAAATACGTTCACAATATCGTACAAATTAGGAAACAAACTGACATTTTTACTAGCAAATAAATCAACATAATAATACTGCGGTGTGTGCTACTTATGTTGACAGATATAAGTAGTATGTATCATCAGTCGAAAGTGAAATGCGTGGAGGTAGAAATTTAAGAAGGTAAAAGAAAAAAGAACGAGAACAAAGAATGGTTGGTGGGGGAAACGAAAGGATAATCAAGTCCTGCTCAGCTACAAAAGAACGACAGATTATTAGCTACAATTTATAAGAGATTAGTTTAGTTCATTTAAGCAAAACAACTTTATCTGATGATTACTGTGGAAATTCATGAAGAAACTTGCAGGATCACAAATCAAGAAGTAAACATCCATATAAGGTCACAATTTTCTGTGTTAATGACATGTACAATGTGAAATACTTCATCAACTGAATTAACCATAAACTCTATGGCAGACAGCTTTGAGAAGTTAAACAATTTCATTACTTAAGTAGTCACAACCAATATACAGCCTGGCACCTTATATTATTTTTCATTTACACATGCGCTTACTTGGAATCATGAAGGTAAACGGAAAAGAGGAAGGCTAAACAACACATTGTGTCGGGAATCGGAAGCAGAAATGATAAGGATGAATAGAAACTATAAATGATTGCACAGAACAGGATTGGATGGAGAAAGCGTGGTTGGCAGCCTATGCTCCTCCATGAGGGGTAACAGGTGCAATTAATTTGGTAGATAAATAAATATAACCAGACAATTACCTGATGACATAACAACAGTTAATCCCAGTAACTAAATATACCTGAGATATACTAATTCAACTCCCCCTTAAATATAACAGTCTTCAATTATTATTTTGGATCTACTAGTGTGACACTCATTACTTATGCGGACAGAAATAAATAGCATTTAGCAGAAATTGGGTGTAGAATGCTTAGCAGCCGTAATCGTAATAATAGTAAATTGGTCTACCGTACATGAGTTCCGTCCACTCCCTGAGATATATCCCTGTAAAACGGGTCAGAATAACTGTACTGGATACTCCTAAATGTATATAACTATATCTTTTTTCAATAAAACCATGATGAAAGTCTAAGTCATTTAAATGGTTTCATGTTAACTCGTCATAAAAATATTACATGGCTCAAGCTTAAAACATGGCCACAATTTTGAACGAAATAATATACTTAAGAAACTAATTCAACGATAATATGTTGTTTTAATAATTGAGATCATGAGTTAATTGAATCAAGACCAGCATAGAAAACCTGGAAGCACTGGACAGTCGTTTCGTCTTACTGTAGGACACCTCAGCAGTGTGCATCCACGACTGGCTTCAAGATGTATATCCTGGAGTTCTAGTGAAAAGCAGTGACCAGTTGAATTCAACCGGGTCAGTTGTGAGATAGTAACTCACTGATAACGATGGTGGATCTGTCGCTCAATTTCGAGGATTAGTTGAAGTTAGATATTAACACCGTTGGATGCCGACTCAGTGGTTTAATGGTTAAGTGCTTGCACGTGAGACTAAGAGGTCTTGGGTTCGAATCCCACATAGCAGGGTCGTGGATGCACTCTGCTAAGGAGTCCCACAATAGGACGGAACGGCCGTCCAGTGATTCCAGGTTTTCTATGGTAGTCTAGCTTCAATAGACTCATGATCTCAGCTATTGATACTCATAAAATACACTATCAACAAGGTCATTAAAAGATAATAATAATAATAATAATAATAATAATAATAATAATAATAATAATAATAATAATAATAATAATAATAAAGGAAAGAACAAAAATTCGATTAGAAATTAATCTTACCGATATTGAAATTCATTTTTAGAAGATTTTAACTTGATTGTTTCATTATTATCAAAATAATTAAAACGATGAGTATCAGATGGTTTACGACTTGGTGCACGCCATGGTATTAATTTAGATGTATCAGTTAATTGAATCATTTTATCTATACATTTATGATGTATAAAATAATGATTATTTAATTCTATTATATACTTACAGTTTCGATTTAGATCCTGTTTTTTATCATAATCACCATGGTTACTACTAGTACTACTACTATTAGTAGTAGTAGTAGTAGTAGTATTAATAGTAGTATCAATATTATTGTTCTCATAATGAACCTGATGATGATTATTTACAAAATTCAATGTATGACATCTTTTATTGAATAGTTCTTCTGAACATCTTTCTCTTGTATCACCATTTTCTTTATTGATTGACTAGAATTCAGGAAAATGAGAAGGAATTGATTTAAATTAACAAAAGAAAATAGTTGAACATTATTGAATACAATAGTGTTTTATCATAGAAAAAAAGGATATTAGTTATGGAGAGATTTAAATCAAGTCAGTGTTGAATATATTTCTCATTTGAATATAAGACCCTATTTTAAAATAATGGTTAATTAGTGAGCAATGATGGATGGTGGCTAGCAATGGAATCCAGTTTGATGCGCGTTTCGTCCTATTTGGGACTCGTCAGCCGGATATACCTGGATCTCAGAGTTGATGTTCACTTTGGAACTCGAACCCAGTACCATTCGCTCCAAACACTATCGCGTTATCCACTCAGCTACTAAGTCCTGATAGTCACTTGCTTGTGCAATGGGGTGAATTTAAATTCACCTGGTATTATTTGACTTGTATCTTCCCATTGATGTTTAAGACTGCAATTGATCAGTCTGGGTTCGAGTCCCAGAGTGAACATCAACTCTGAGATGCAGGTACATCCAGCTGACGAGTGACAAATAGGGCGAAACGCGCGTCCAACTGGATTCTACTGCTAGCCACTATCCATCATTGCTTACAAAAAGCTTGTGAATTATGGCAATATCGAGGCATGCGCACAGTATGCACATATGTCAATAACAGACTGATCAATTGCAGTTTTAAACCTCAATTGGAAGATACAAGCCAAACAATACCAAGTGAATGGTTAATTAGGTTATATGATTGTGTACTAGACTATTCACTCACATCTTCAATTATGATCGGGTTTGTTTCTATTGTCTCCTTTTTCTTGTTTACCTGTTAACGAAAGACAGAAGGAGCAATTCAACCCTATTGTTTGTTTTAATACATCATTATAGCTATTCATTGCATAACTTCCTATCCAGGTGAGTTTCTGAAAAGTGTACAATCTTTCGTTGTACAAATTATAAAAAACTCAATCAAAGATATTGTGGTTGCTGGCAATATGCAACGAAAAGAATGTACATTATTTAGATGTCGATTGACTGAACTATTAACATCTAACTGGCGATCACTCAATATGTAATCGTCACGAACAACCATGAAATAAGAAATGGAAATTTGTTGAAATACAATGTGCTGAGAATTCTAGATAATGAGACTATAATTTATGGACGACATTTAAATGACGCGAAAGTGACCTTGAGAGTATCTACCTACTAACTAGGGCTAAATTAAGGTTATAAAGCAGTTTGGAGAATAAGGTTTATGATATACAGTTGATGGTTAGCGTTAGAAATTAGATTTAGTGTTTTCATCGCGAACTGTCATCAGCTATAATGCCAGGAATCTATTTAGCCAAATGAGTGGATGAATTTCGTGCCAAAATCTAAGACCTGTTATCTCAAATCTGATTGGTTCGTTCAAAATTATTGTCTCGTCGAATCTATAGAATTCCAAAAGAGTACACTGCCTATGAACATAAAAGATTTTCTTTTGTATCAGTCACCTTAAGAAATGCACACATTTTATTGCCTTTTTCAATTCAACAAAGGTTATCTATCAAGGTTATTTAATTATAACAGCCATCGTTCATTCATCAAAGCTGATAACATCCTAACGGAAGTGTTATATCTGGTGTTGATTCTGTTTTGTATGTATCAACTCTGTTCTATCCGCGCTCCTATTGTTTATATTTAGAAAGAGGAACAGTTGCACATTCAACTATGCAAAGTAAAGACACAAGAACTGGCACAAATGAAGATTTATTGACCCTCTATAAACACTTACCCAAAACAAGTTGTAAAAGATTATACCTTTCAACCGAATACACTTATTTATATGCTAATTCTACACACACTTGATGATGACGATGATGATGATGATGTTAATGAACATCATATAAATGAAAAATACACAGTCTTACTTTAAAATACATATGAAGTTCACATAGAAAAGTACAAAGAATATAGTTACAACACTAGACGAAGGTTCACAACGATCATACCAATCAAAATTCACCATTTAAACAAACCCTATTCACCTGAGATAATGTTACATTGGAAAATATAACCTTCAGTATTAGCAGCGAGATTAACTGAGGTCTTAGGTGGAATTCGGGAACTGGACGCAATCCCATCTGACTGGTCTCAATCACTGATTGTGCCAGTCTATAAGAAAGGACAACAGTCCTCTTGTGACAATCACAGAGGAATCAGTTTGACTAATATAGTGTCTAAAATATTAGCTTCAATATTACTTCGACGCCTAACCAAAGCTCATGAAGAACAGACTAGAGAAAACCAGGCTGGTTTTCGACCTGGACGTCGTTGCATAGACCAGATATTCACACAACGTCAAGTCCAAGAACATAGACACACATCCAAACGTCCCATAATCGTAGTGTTTCTTGACCTTAACGAGGCATTTGACTCTGTCGATCGCAAGGTTCTATGGCAGTGTTTGTCACTGAAAGGAGTACCAAAGAAGTAAATTAACCTTATAAAGACTCTCTACTCGAACACAACTGATCGAGTGAGAGTTTATGGCGAACTGTCATCAGAATTGATTACCTCAAGTGGTGTTCGTCAGGGCTGTCCACTCTCCCCATTCTTGTTCAACTTTGTCGTCGACGTACTTTTAGAGATAACACTCTCCTCATCTAAATTTCCAGGGGTTGAACTTCTACCGGGAGGTTCACTTGTTCACTTGGAATATGCTGATGACAGTTTTATTTGGTGAAGACGCTGACAAAATGCAGAGTCTTCTGACCACTATGAGCAACAATCCAAGCATGTTCGGGATGCGATTCTCTCCGTCGAAATGCAAAATGTTGCTTCAGGATTGGGTTACATCGACACCCGAACTAGTGATAGGGAGTGAAGTAGTTGAGTGTGTCGACCGCTTCACTTATCTTGGAAGTCTCATCAGCCCTTGTGGTCTGGTTTGTGACGAAATCTCAGCACGGATACAGAAGGCTCGACTAGCTTACTTTCGCCAACTTGCGTCATTTATGGCGTAGGCGAGATATCCGTCTATCAACCAAAGGACGTGTTTACTGCGCAGCAGTTCGTTCCGTCCTACTTTACAGCAGTGAAACATAGCCGGTAAGAGTAGAAGATATTCGTAGGTTACTAGTATTCGATCATAGGTGTCTTCGAAACATTGCTCGTATATCCTGGGACCATCGAGTAAGTAACACAGTTGTTAGGGATCGGGTACTAGGTAAGGATGGCAAATCAATTGATGAAGTGGTGAAACTTCATCAGTTGAGATGGCTGGGACACGTGTTACGTATGCCCAACCACCGACTGCCTCGACGTGCAATGTTCAGTGGTATAGGAGTAGATTGGAAGAAAGGTAGGGGCGGCCAGATCAAAACATGGCACAAGTGCATGAAGTTACTGACAAGTGGACTGAGTCACATTGGTAGGTGTAGACTACCTGGTTGGGGACCGCGAGATAATAGCAACCGATGGTAGAGACTCTGAATGACATGGCCCAAAATCGTTTGCAATGGTGCAGGTGCATCTACTCTTTATGTTCTCCCGAATTCTAATCTTCTGAATTCTTCATGTCCCTTTCTTTTATCTCTTTGCAAACTTATTTCACTGTATTATACTCCTTGTATAACATCTCCAAACCCTAATCTTCCCGATTACTGCTTATACTCTTGCTACCTTTACCACTACGGGATTTGAATCGACCACTGCATCTCTGTGCTAATGTGGTGTGGCAACTCGAACTGATGTACGTACATACGAAGTTTTACGTTGTTACTGACTGACTGACTTACTAAAACCTTATGTTGAGAAGAAAACTGATGTTCAATGCTACATCTGGAATGAAGCTAATATCATAAAATATTTCACCGAGTTAGAAAAAACATGAATGTACTTTACCATAACTTATCAAGAAGGCAGAAATGTTTCTCCTATAAATCAATAAAGGGAGTAAATTAAGAGTTATGGTAAGAGAAAAATAACTTTTCTCAGTGTATAGGATTTATGGAATTGTAGAATTGTATGAGTCATTTAAACAACAATGAAAAGATTAGGAAGCACCAAACAGCTATTTTTGCTTACCATAGGATTCTTCAACAGTACATTATAACGATCCCATCAAATGGGGTTTGAACTCAGAATCTCCAAGTTTCCCTGGAAACACTAAACCTTTAGACCACTGATTTACACGTCCGATTTCAATTAATTCACAACATTACGCAGCCACCTTTCAATAAACTCGTTGGTTAACTGGTTGGACTCCACTGGACACAGCTTCTCATCACAATCTTAGGAATCACCTCTTGAAGTCATTCACTTGTGACAGGAGATGATGAATTTTTTCGGGAAACCCCATAGTAGGATGAAACATATATTCGCCTAAGTATGGTCACAATGTGGTTTAAACTAAAAAACGTTTCTCATTGAATAATGTAAGAGTATTGTGTTTGACTACGGTCAATATATATCAAACCATAAAACGTCATTATTATTATTATCATTATTACTATAATAAATATGCTCACTTTCTCTGAAATATGAAACTGAAGGTAACGTATGTTTTGAATATAATGCTTCTTCCAAATTCCAGGTTCCCATTGACTATGTGAAGCGATTAAATCCCATCCATATCTTAAACACTTCGATGCCCATAATTCATTTGATTCGGTTAGATATCTCCAATACCATGATACCTAGAGAAAACGTTTGAGGGTAAACAGTGATTAGAAATATGGAACACACAATTTAACGACCTAAGTTGACAAAGATCAAGAATATGACAAGATGAAAAGTCAAAGTTACATCTTCAATTTCGATAATACAATGAGAAGTCTTAGTTTATCAGAATTATGTAATGATAGATTTGCGCAATACATTTCAAACAATCGGATCATACAGTATATACTTGTTAAGACATTTTTATATGAACATGAAAAGGTCAGCTATACAAGTTGAACGTAAGCCGTAACAAATAAATAAAATATTCAAAGACAATTTGATAATCATTCTGGATAATAAATCATTATTACCAGGGTAAATTAAATGTAAGGACAAATTGTTTTTGAACTCATAAAAGGAGTTTTGATGGAGGTCCGCTCTCTGAGCTGGATGGTTTAGTTGTAGAGCTTTCAAATCTTCTTCACTATCACATAAAGGGAATTTCAGTTTCCGTATAGTCAAGGCTTCAATAAACCTTAGTATGTGTCCTTGAAGGCTTTTATACAATATTACATTTTTAATTGATTATGATTCTTGTCCAAAATTACTTCCATATTCTAATTCAATATAATAATTATTCAGTGTGATGTTTATTAAAGATAAGATATTCCTGTGCTAAATTAACATAAATCATGTTCAGCATAATATACAGCATGTGATTTGTTATTAGTTTGGCCGTTTTCCATAGATGTCACTTTTTCCTAATTCATAAATAAAATTGTATACAAATCAATATGTAAATAAGTGTATTTTCTACAGTAGTCGTCGTCGCCGTCGTCGTCGTATTTTCGGGGTGAATAAATCTCCAGTTGTACCAGTCTCCCGTGTTCACAATTCGCGTTGTCGGAATTATTTTAAGAATAAATAATAAGCGATGCGGATATAACAGATTTAAAACCTGATCCTCTAGTTTGTCACTTTAGCCTGATACTCCATCGTCTAACTTAAACGTTGCCCAACCAGGCGTTCTATAATACTCGAGAAGTTCTTTAAAGGCATCCATAATAAAAAGCTTTCAGTCTAAGTAGATTCTCCACTTTCATAGGTTATGTTTCATAGTTATAGAGTAATACAAAGGGGGCTACTATGTCAGTCAGTCAGCTACAACGTAGGACTAGGCACATATGTGCATCGGTCCAGGTTTCCATACCGCATCAGCACAACAAGATGAACACCGGATTCATAGCAGTGGTTAGGTCAAAGGTGGTAATATATAAGAGAAAGATTGCATATAGAGATATAGTACAAGAAGAAAGAATTGGTTCGTAGAAAGAAAGATATGAAGCAATTTTAATCTCTTAGTTTAAGGGAAGATATAGTGTGTATACACCGACGCCATTTTGATCGATTCTCAGCCATGTCATCAAGAGTCTCCAACCATTGATTACGATAGTCACGCGGACCCCAAGCAAGTAGTCTGCATCTACCAACATGGCTCAGACTAGAAGTTAGTGACTTCAAGCACTGATGCCACGTTTTGGTTTGGCCGCCCCTTACTTTCTTCCAACCATCTCCAATACCGGATAGCATTGCAGTATAGTCGGCTCTTAGCTGTTAAATGGACATCTTGCTACAAGTAACGTAGTTTGATAAATATCAACCGAGTGTTTTGAATGCCAATCGAGATTTTGACGATTCCTATTCACCGGGGGTAATGAGACATTCATGACAAATAAAGTGATCAACTCAGTGAATAATTTATTCTGTCCAGTCAATTTAAGTACTAACATAGGTCAGTTCTAAAGCAACATTCTGAATTTAGAACGAGAGAAAAGTGTCGCAAACCAATTCGTTGATAGATTTGTGTAGAAAATGATTTTTTGAAATAATTTACAAACAGAGGACCATTAGAGAATACAAAGCACTAAAACGTTTCATTCATGGTATTTTATAAACACTGATTAATGTTAACTATCATTTTCTAACATTATGACAAAGTAACTCTACTTTCTCTTCAAACAACGTGTAATTAGAAACTTTTGACTGAAACTTCTGATAAGAAGTGAATTTTCAGTCAAGCGAGATGTGTATCAGATATATCTAAATGGTTATTAGTAGTATATAAGATTAAGAAACAGAGGAAATAACATATGGTGAGGTTTAAGATCTTGATTTTGAAATCATAATAAGTTGAACTATATCCATATAGAATAACTTGAATGTAGCTAGCAGTAGAATACAAGACGCAAGTTTTTTCCTATTTAGGTCTCTTCAGCTAAATTTTCTTGCATCCTGGGATTGATGCTCACTTCAGGATTCAAACTCAACCCTTTTTGCTTCAAACGCTAATGGGTTATCCACCTGGCTTCTGAGTCTAAATAGCTACTCACCTGCGCAACAGGATCATTTAAACCGTTACAAAGCAAACTAGTCTATACATTATTTATTGTAAAGGTTGTAAAAATGAAATACTAAGTCTTTACTATTTACTGTAATTTCTGGCGGTATGACGCAGTATTTTCGACAAAGATACCGCCATCCATACTTCACGAAGAGGTTCACTCAAAAATGGCTCATATTTAAGTTGATGAGTTTACTAACCGATTTAACTACCGATAAATATTTGCTACTGGACTGTTCTTCAAATTAATTATAAATAGCTGATATAACAAATCAAAATGTTTGCGACAATGAATGGTCATGTTATTGATGAATGACCATCAAAGAAATGAGTTTGTCTTCAAGTCAGCTTCATGCTATTCACTCAAACCACAGACCTACTCAAATCTATTTCTGTTTAAATAAGTATAAAGCAAGATAACAATATGACACTTTTGATACTACTTATTCATGTGATTATTTATCAAATTTTATCCATGTCTAATGTCATATATGTATGACTATCAGTTTTCCTATTTATTCACTTACTGTATTAAATATGTGGTTTCACAAGTTGATTCAACAGTATAATTGACGACTGACTGACGCAGAAATTCATTAAAAATATGCTTGGTTTTTTATATTTAACAACTTAACACAATGACTGATCACTACACCAATTCACATATAAAACACACTTCATAAATTCCATGTACTTTTTATGCACGTGGTCTAGTGAACTAGTTTATTTGAAGAATATTCATTCTCAAGACATCTTCCATTAACCTTATAATATCAATTAGTCTAGTTAATCGGATTAAATAAGGAGGTCAATTTAGAGAATGTATGGATTTCACTGGTTGAAACCATGAGTCAATTGAAGCCAGACCACCCTGGAAAATCTGGGAGCACTGGACGGCCGTTTCGTCCTAGTATGGGACTCCCCAGCAGTACGCATCCACGATACGCCCCCCCCCGCGAGATCCAAACCTAGAACAAAGTCACCGCATACAAACTTATTCAAATGGTTGGAGTTAATTAGAGCGATCAATATTCGTATACTTGGATACAGAATATGCAGTTAAATTTGTTACCTTTCTTTAGTTGTGAGCAGATTTTTCAAATTCATAATGACCACACAGAAAATATTGGTAACATTTAATTTTGAACGTGCTTCCACTGTTCTGATTTATACTATAGACCAGTTATGCGACTAGGAACTCACGTTATGTACAAATGTTATTCATGACCATGAGTTTTTGTATTATAACAATGGATATAACATCAATAGAGTGTATTTACTGAGCTATTAATTTCCTTTTCTATAAACCTTTAAGAAATGTTTCTTTACAATGTTTATATAAAATGTACAGAAAGTAATTGACACTATATAAGTATATGAACAATATTATTTTTGTTAACTGGTTTATGAAATTGAATGTCTTTGTTAAAAAAAACTAGAAGACATCCAATGAATAGCTAATACTTACCTGTGCACAGCGACAGAGACTTCTAGGATCCAGAAAAGAAAACAGATAAATGCATAGAACTCTTGGTAGTATTCTAGTAAAATCTATTTGGTATAAAGGAATTTTATTTTCTATATTGTGAAAAAGTGACTCAAGTTGTTTCTGAGTGCATAACCCAAAAAGTTTCGTCATTAACTCCTTTCTTTGACTTTCTGACCATTTGGCAAACTAAAGATTATGTAAAACGCGATCTTATTTCATACCCAAGCTAAAATAAGATGTTTTCGTTCTTCAAAAAGCTAAAACTGACAAATAATGGAGGAATTAAACAAAACAATACCGTTTTATTTGCGTCTTTGTTCACCAATGGAGTCCACGAACTTTTAGTTTGTATCATCTATGATGTCCAATATTTGAATTCTCTGGTCTATTCTATATGTATGTTATCGAGGTATTGTGGTAAAAATATACATGTAGAAATCTAAAAGAGAGAAAAAATAAGATGTATTTACAGTTGCAAATGGATACAATTGATTAACCGTCTAAGCAATCAAGTAATCCACTGGATATTGTAAAGTGATGTTTCCGTTTTTGCCCACAATTCTCTGAATCCAATTGTAGTGCGATATTGTTGATAATCGCTTAGATATTGTTTATAAAACCAAATTAGCATCTTTTTATTTTTTTACATCACCTACTCTGTTAATCCTTCCACTTCGGGCCACAAATTTCTAAAATATCTAAGTTTGTCTCAACCTCACTGTCATAGTGACTTATTTGATTTATTTGAGTTACTGGTAGTGTGCAGTCTTATCATGTAGTCATACCTATGGGTTTTAAACCATACCTCTACAAATAAATTCTCCTTTGGCTCAGACTCAAGTCACCGAGAGTAAATAAGTGTTGGTAAATTTAAGTAGCTAACTAAACTACAAACACGTTTTTACAGTACTGGGCAGCACTACATAAAAAAAATGATCGATCAGATAGTTTAAGAAACCAACTTTTGTTTCATGAAATGTAAATTCATATTGTTGGATCACATTGAGATTGCACAAAATATTTCATTTTCTTATGACTTTTAGCAGGGTTAACAGCTTATATATACACAACTTAAATAGCCTTAAAGACTGAACTGTTTCATGAAACTTAGTACATTGTGAAGTCTTCATCGACAAAATGTTTACTAGCAACTGATAAAGCGCTGTGCTGAGTAACACTTAAGTGACCCTATAAACCCAATAAGAGATCGGAAATGCCGACGCCAGTATAAAAGCCAGCGAAATTTTTAACAAAAACGTGGGGTTATAATATATGGACGAACCAATCAGATTTGGGATAACAGGTTTCGGATTTTAGAGCAAAATCCACTCATCAATTCGCCGAATAGCGTTTTGGCAATTCAGCTGATGCCAGTTCGTGGTGGAGACCCTAATTACAATTCCTACCTTTAGCTGTGAACTGTAAATCATAATCTTTGCTCTTCAAACTGCTTTGTAACCTTAATTTAGACCTAGTAAGTAGGTCGACATTCTAAGGGTCACTTTAACGTCGCTCAAAGCTCGTCTATACATTATAGCTTCACCCACACCATTTATGCTGAATTTCGCATATCATAAGTTCTGATTTCAATTTCCACTTGGTATTTAACACATATGTACGCATATGTATATATTTATTGGCATTAAACGGTAATATTAGCCACTAAAAGCAAATTTAAATAACTTGACTCCTTACGCAAAACACGCCAAACTAGTCATAAAAACGAATACAGTTTTACCAAATGATTTACAGCATGTCATAATCAGAAACGTCATTATGAGATTTATCAGTCATTACTAATCAGTTGTGCCAAAGTTAAGAAATGGTTAAGCAACCTATTTAGTGAACGTGGTTCAACTACACCGATTCATAAAATGAAGCCCTGGATGAAGTTGTAAATGAGCTACAATTATTCCCTATTTAATATACCATGTATAACGACCGACAGAGGCCAAAAATATACGTATTTTTTTCTCACGAGAAAAAGTGAGTCAACTCAACAACCTGTTAAATGCGCTCATATTTATTCACGAAAGCAGTCGTTACCAAGTGGCAATGACCCAAATGAAGAATCAGAACAATTTGATAATCTAAACGACGGTTTAACAGAATAAAGGTTCAAGCGCATTATGAAATTGTAACGGTATCAAAAATGAAAAACTGAATGACGCTCAATTTACATTAGTAACCATTCTGTTGCTCAATATCCAATATCATTCTTCAGTAATAATGATAGTTAGTTGATGAATCTGCGTTATTCTTGACGGATTGCCTTGTATTGAACGTCCAGTTTCTCTTTAAAAATGTTCACTGATGAGGCTAGTACTACTTGTTCGAGTAAAGCGTCCGAGTCATTGGCCACTCGATGAGAAAATCGGAACTTTACTTTAATTTTGCTATGTCGTGATTTGTGAACCCTCTTGCTATGACCTCGGAGATTATTACTGCTGGACAGAACAAGAAGACAAGACATATTAACACCCAAATCGTAATTAAGGATACGAAATGCCAGTATAAGGTCACTTCGCGTTCTACGATACGACAAGGGGAGAAGGTTTATGAGTTTTAAAAAGTTTTAGAAAGACCATTCACTAATTTTGTTCCCACACTCTGAACATACTCAATTGAGTTAGTATCCTCTATCAGACATGGGCTGGCTGCTTGAATACAGTACTACAAGTGTGATCTTACATAGGTGAGATATAAAATTCGAAACATTTCCTCGTCAAAGCATTCCGAAGCTCAAGAGCTTCTAGATAACACCCAAGTATAGAACCTTGTCAAACACTTTACTAAAGTGTATGAATATCACATCGACAGACTGAATGTTGTCCGGGTCACTGTCCAATCCTCTCACACAATCAGTAAGTTGGTCAAACATGAATGCTTGTTTTCGAAACCCGTGTTGCTCGGGAGTTAACAGACTGTACAATTCTATGAGATCAAGTAATTTAACCCGAATTATCTCTTCAAGCAACGTAACGACTATGCTGGTTGGACTAACAGGCCGGTAGTTAGATACGATCTGTCTCTGACCATCTTGACAGTAGCATCTCTCAAATCCCTAGGGAGTTGGTTAAGGGAAAGGGATATGTTGAAGAGCATCGCGAATGGTCTTGAAATAATGTCTGCGAGAGATGATAGCAATCGTGGATGGAACTTATCAAGGCCCGGTATCTTGCAAGGTTTGAGGTTAATAATCAATAGAAGAACAGTTTTCCCAGTCACATGTACAGATCCTATGGCTCGTATCTCAGTGGTGTGACAAGGATAAGTATTTTTAACAATTCATGTGGGGTAGATTTCGACGAAATAGTTTGATAATCTCAGCCTTTCTTAGATCTGATTCAGCTAGTGAATCTGAATATTCGCGCAACAGTAATGCGGGGAACACCATCACAACGTTTTGTCCTCCATTTAACGTACGAAGACAATCGCTTCGGACAAGTACGGTTATTACATACCCACTGTCTTCCGTAAATAGTAAGGTATATATCTGTAGTGTTTTGGCATATATTCCAGATTTTTCGGTATTTACACTTAAATGATTTGTGTCTCGTCGAAAAGAATAATTCACAGAAGTGTTTACGGTTTTCCTTAGTACTCCATGAAGGACAATGTGACAGCTTACGTGTTGGCCATGGGATAAACAGTGGTTACGGACTCGAATGTATCCTTAAACTTGTTGCATTCGTCTTTTATCGATCCATCCCTATCGACCGACTGGTTTTTCCACTTGACAGTCTCTAATTACCTGAATATCAGCTAGCCAGATATTGGGACGGGATGGAATAGATAAATATTGTATACCATGTGTCCGAAACCAAAAGTAAAGGACAACGTGATCACTATTAGCTGGTGGTGGAAGGTACTGAATGTTGATAATATCGTCACAGCGGTGTGTGAAGACAAAGTCCAGAAAAGATAGACCATGTTCCAAGTCAATGTGTGTCAGTTTTGCGACACAGTGAAATTGTACACTGAAAAATGGTTGATAGAAGGTCACTATCGAAACCCCTACCTGGAGCTGTAAGCTCCATCCAGTTGATACACAATGCGCTGAAATCTCCAATGATTAGACAGCGTTTGACCTTACTCAAAAAACAGATGTATCTTAAGGTAAAATAGTCAGCAAGACAACACGGATTACGGTATATTCCTCTTAAAGTCATTAACTCGTGTTTAGACTTAGTTATACAACATGCTGCCGCACATGTACCACAAACATGCGCCTCCGATGCGATTGATTCTGTACGATTGTATACATAACATATCCATTATCATTGCGATGAGCTTGTATAAGCCGATTGGTTTCTTTTACCCAGCTTCTTGTCGTTTATGTAAGGTTCAGGGTATTTGCTAATGTGCAAGTGGTGGTATTCCAACTCCTGTTTCGCACTAATTCTAGTTAGCTCCGTAGTTATCCATAGTACTATGCAGGGAGTGGCTGATTGCGATGTGAAAAATAGTATGCAGAAAATTCGAATACTAAGAGAAGACAACAGTTTGAAAAACTAAATAAGTAAATTACTTAGTTAATCAGTGGTGAAAACTGTGCAGGAAGACCAATAGATTTGTAGCAAGCTTGTATGAATGAAATGATTACTCTGTTTTATCATTTTGACGTTTGAGCTTAACTCCAGTCCATCGGTAGTGTGGAGTGAAGCATTCTAGCTATTTGACTGAATGATTCCTAATAAATCTGACAATCATTTAGATGGCCGATACATTTTGATTACGTGCGAGTCTTTTTGGAACCAACAGCTATGATTTCACAGATAACCTATCTAGTTGGTTAAAATGAGAACTTTAATGTCAGAATAGTGAGAATTGGAAAGCGAACAATTATCCGAACGTTCTGATAAAACTCACAAGTCAAACTATAAGTGAGTTGTACCCATTGCTTTGAAAATTAAAATTGAAATGTTTAATTCATAAGTCGTGAGTATGTGAACATAATTTATGCATGACACTGTCGAAACTGCTTTCACTAACCAGTGTAATTATCTAGCGATGCATGTCTTTTCGCATCAGGTATTTATTATTATATACACTTGTTCATTATCACAAAATACCCTAGAAATCTAGCCAAAATTAAAAGGGTTTACAAATGCTCTTCTGATGTCTCCTGGAATAAGGTGTTTTTAGATCCCCCCCCTGTTTTCATTGTCCTCTAAACTTATTTCGTCACAATTATCATGTCTGTGTCCCGACAAGGTTTTGATGATACGTTCACCTTTTCTAAAGAGTGCTTGATAATCCCAAATTCTTCTTTTTCTTTTTTTAAATATATTATACACCACTAAACCCATCATCCTCTGGTTATATTACTTGAGAAAGCTTGATATCAACATA